CGGGGGCCCGTGAGAATAGCGGAGCCATGCAGATCGAGAAGGCTGTGAGGGTCTCCTGAAGCCAGTGCCAGTACAGACGCGAAGCTTAGGCCCCAGTGTCTTCCAGGACTGAAGGGCATTTCGGTGCACCTGCTTTGGATCTGCTAAGGCAGGCACGTGGTCATGAAGAACGTCACACCAATATGGTGGCCCCTGGGTGCAAACTATGGGACGCAGTGTTCTCACTGATGCACAAAAGGAGTTCAGGTCAGGGACAGTATAGTGGAAACGCTGAGAGCAGGCTGGACTTAATCTGCACGGGATAAAATGAACGTTCTGGGCAAGAGCTTCTGAATAGAGGCCCCAGCCGAGAGGCATTAGAACAATTTGCATTTTAATTCATTCTATGTGTCTTAACTTAGAATAAGTGTAATGGAAATCAATATAACATTTGCATACCTTATTTGACATATTATGTTTCTGTAATTACAGTATAAATTCCTAAAGGTTCAAACTGCTTTGTACTATAAATACGGAAGAAAGACATTTCATTAAATATTCATTTGAGGGATTGTAAGGTGATGGAGATAACTATGGAAATGATAACTAGGTAAGTGTCTAGAGACAAAACACAAAGGAAAGCGCCTGGTCAAGAGCAAGAAATGTTTTTCCATCACTGTTGACACCGACTGAGCTCCTGATTTATACACGCTTGAGCCCAAGGCCATTTTGAGTTTCTGCATTGTGCTTCAAGCATCTATCTGTAACAGGGCTAAATCTTTTAATGTTCTCCACCCATTTTTGCCCAGTAACTTTGTATACGACCCTGGCAAAGGTATATAAAATAAACATACAATCAACAGTTATGTTGTTTTGTTTGGCTTTTGTGGTTGGTTTTGGTATTTTTGTGGGGAGGGGAAAAGACAAGAGCTTTTTCTATATAGCCCTGACTGCCCTGGAACTTACTATGCAGACCAGAATCACCTAGAAGTCATAGAGATCCACCCACCGTGGTCTGTTTCCTAAATATTGGGATTAAAGGCATGTACCACTATATCTGACCAAATCAAACACATAATAAATCAAAAAGATGTTTATTTTTAAAGCAATTATTCAATGTACATGTTTACCTTTTATTACAGATTAAAACAATTATGCACACGAATAGGATACACGTGCTTGTCTATTTATGTGCATGTATTGTATTAAGAGTGAATACCTCCCACTGTAGGACACCTGGACACCAGGGTTTGATGTCATAGGATGTCTTCCTCAATGGCTTTTCTCCCTTGTCTTTTTCTGAGACAAGGTCTCTCAATGAATCTGGAGTTCATTTTGGCAAGGCTGGCTGACCAGTGAGACAACAGAATCCACCTGCATATACTCCCTCCGATGCCCCACTCCCACCCAGCTGAATATTTGATCCTGCTGGACATGGGAAACTGACGATTTTCAGAGTTGATCCATAGCTTTGTTTGAGATAGGGTCTCACTATGTAGCCCTGACTGGGTTGGAGCTCAAAGTCACCATTCTCTGCATCCCAAGTCCTGAGAGTTTGTATATTCCAGCAAATTTTGATCTTATGATTATCATTACAAGAACACTACTACAAAACGGCATAAGTTTGTTTAAGATCATTTTAATAGTTGGAAATACTTTCTCCAAAGATAAAAGTAAAACAAAAAGCCTGATACCTGCTGGAGGGGGCTAAATTAACATGATAAAGACGTGTTGATGATGTGAATTGACTGAGAAATTGGTGAGTTACTATGGGAGATTGCCTCCTTTTCTTCCTTTCAATTTATTTATTTATTTTGAAACAAAGTATCAGGCTGGCCAAGAGCACTGAATGTTTTGAGGATAACCTTGAACTTCTGATCCTAACTCCACCTCCCCAAAAGCTGGGTATAAGGCACTTCTGATTGTTTATGTGGTGCTCTGGAGGGACCCAGGACTTGTTCGTGCTAGGCAAGGAAAATTTATCTGATCTTTTTTGAATAAATTCCATAATGAATAATATACATTCCAAATTGAATTTTAAGATATTCTGGGTTTTACCTTCCTTTTTGTTTTTTAAGACTGTTTCTCTGTGTAGTCCTAGCTGTCCTGAAACCAGACTGGCCTCAAACTGATTTATGTGCTTCTGGCTCCTGAGTACTGGGATTAAAGGAATGCACCACTACTGCCTGGCTTTGGGGATGTTTTTTTTTGTTGTTGTTGGTTTTTTGGTTTTGTTTTTCAAGACAGGTTTCTGTTTGTAGCGTTGTAGACCAGACAGGCCTGGAACTCAGAGATCCGCCTGCCTTTGCCTCCCAAGTGCTGTGATAAAAATTGTACACCACCACCGCATGTTTTTGTTGTTGTTGTTTGTTTTGAGACAGTTTCACTGTGTAACCCTGGCTGGCAGGCCTGGAACTTGATATGTGAATCAGGTTGGCCTTGAACCACAGAGATCCACACACCTCTGCCTGGAGTGCTGATATTAAAGGATTTTTTGTTGTTTTTTATTTGTGTGCCAGGTGCATGTGGATACTTGCAGAGACCAGAAGAGGGTATCAGATCCTCTGGAGCCATAGTTAAAGTGATTAAGTCACCTGATGTGGGTCCTGGTAACCAAACTTGGATCCTCTAGAAAAGCAGCAAGTATACTTAACTGCTGAGCAATCTATCCAGCCACCCCCATCCCCAAATTTAATGTCAGAATTTGAAAGAGAATGTCACTGGGCATGGTGACTCATGCCTGTAACCCCAACACTTGAGAGATGATGGGGGCCATAGAATCAGGAGTGCAAAGCAAGCCTTAACTAAATGTGCTCATATCTCAGTATCTCAAAACAAAAGAGAGGGAGTCAGATACAAAGGGAAAGGGAATGAAAGGGACAGGGGAAGGGGGTGGGAGATGTGGCTGTGGCTGGGCATAGTGGTACATACTTGTCTCAGAAACACAGGTGAGAGGCTGAAGGAAAGGAGCTTTGGGGTTTTTTTTTATTTTATTTTGGTTTTTGAGATGTCTCCACCATTTAGTTCTGGCCAGTCTGAGACTCACTATGTAGACTAAGCTGGCCTCCAACTCAGAGATCCACCTGCCTTCACCTTATAAGTGCTGTGATCAAAGGTGTATACCCCCATATCTGACTGAAAAGGTATGATTCTGAGACTTTCTCTACTAGGTTTTCTCCAGCAGTGATGTAAGCCTGTAGTCATGCCTACTTGAGCCAGAGTTCAAGGCCAGCCTGGGTACCAGGCTGGGGTTTTTTGTTTGTTTTGTTTTGTTGGGGGGGGGGAGGAAGGGAGGAGAAAGGGAGAAAGAGAAAAGGCAGAGGGGAGGGCAGGAAAGGGAAAAAGAGAGCTGGGGACACAGCTCAGTTATCAGAGGGCCTGCTTAGTATACCCCCAACCTCTGGATTCAATCCCTCCACTATATAAACAGGGTATGGTAGGATGGTAGGCAGTAGGTAGCTATAATGCTAGCACTTGGGAAGTAGAGGCAGGAGGATCAAAACAAACTTCAAGGCCAGCCCAAGTTACAAAGCTAGCTTGGGTGACTTAGCGAGACCTTGTCTCAAAAAGAGTAAGACAAAGGGTTCTTTTAGGGGTGTGTGTGTGTGTGTGTGTGTGTGTGTGTGTGTGTGTGAGATATAGCTCAGTAGTAGTTTTTGCCTAGCACATGACACACCTGAGTTCCATTCCCAGCACTAGATGGACAGACACGCTTTAAGCAAAACTGCCTCCAGGGATCTGGAAAGATGGCTCAGCAGTTCACTCTTGCTGCTCTTCCAGAGGACCAAAGTTCAATTCCCACCTCACAAGTGCCTGTAACTCCACGTCCAGGCATCCAATGCCCTCTTCTGGCCTCTCTGGCTACCCATACACACGTGACTTTCACACACATTCACATAAAAGTCATAATAAATCTTTTAAAAACTGCGTTCAGTTTACATCCGGTTTCAACTCAGTATTTAGGAGGAGCCACATCCACAGGAAATACTGTGAAAGGTGAGATGTGAGGCATCTTCCCTGATGAAAGGACTGCACCCTCTCACATGGTAAGCCAAAGTAAATTCTTCAGGCAGTAGATGCAGAAAGGAACCCACATGTAGTATGCCAATGGGGAAAAAAAGCCACATTCCTGCATTACCCTTCCAGCCAACTGTGCCCCTCAGATGAGTGCGCCACCCAAGCCAGCACCTGCAGCCTAGCTGCCAGCTGCATCTCCACTTGTAATGCACCTGGCAAGCCCAGATGTCAACCAATGATGAGTAGGGCACGTACTGAGTGAAATCTTACAACAATATGAGTGTACATTACCAGTAAGATCAGTGAATCTTTCCCCAGTCTGTTCTTGTTCTAGAGAATGAACCCAGTGCTCAGGTATGGTAGGCACACACTCTGCTCCTGAATTATGAACCCCCCCCCCCCGCCCTGACTGAACTGTTTCTAATCACCTGTAAGAGAAATCAAATTTCCAAATATTGTCTATAAATGTTTGTTTTCATTTAAATGGACTTGGTTATAAAAAATAAAAAAAAAAAAAGAAATCAAATTTGTCTTTGTGACAGAATTTCATCACGTTTAAGTATGGTTATGCCCAGTGGTGTAAACCAATACAGGCCAGGTCAGGCAGGAAACAAACTAAGAAACTGGTCCTCTGCTAAGCTAGACCACAGCCAGTGTGAGCCAGAGTACTGGGTAGATGGGAATCTGTGATTGTGTTGTCTTCCCACGCTGGAACCAGCCACTCATCAGGAGGCACTGTCTACTCTGACTACATTTGTCATGCTGCTTTGACCAGGTCTTGTCTGTCAAGGCCTGACCACTTAGTGCTTAAACAGTTTTTGTTTGGGGCCTTTTCAAGACAGAGTTTCTCTGTGCAGCCCTGAATAGTGCCATGACATTTTCAGGAAGTCGATCCCTTCCCACACTGGCCCTCAGTGCTGGGCGTCCTCCTGACCTAGCAGGAAGGGACTCAGAAACAAGGGAATCAATCACTCCGGGTAAGGGAGGCACGTTGCAGGGTGTAGTCCAGGATAGGCAGAACAGCATCTTGGTCCTTCAACTCTACACTCAGACCCTGTTGCATTGTTTATTCCATAATCGGTTATTTTGGGGGATAGATATCAAAGTATATAGACTGAAGGAAAAAAAAAATCATAATTTACAACAGTGGTACTCAACTTTCCCAATGCTGCAACCCTTTAATACAGTTCTTCATATTGTCCTGACCCCCAACCATAAAATCATTTCCATTGCTACTTCATAAATGTCATATATGAATTGTAATGTACATATCTGATATGCAACTCCTGTGGAAGAGTCAAGACCCACAGGCTGGGAACCCAGTTACATTCCTAGACAGATTCACAGGAGTAACAAAACATAAAGCCAAAGCGGACAACACTGGGCAGTCAAGGCAATCACACACATGGTAAAAATTCAAGTGCTTTAAAAAAACCACCTCTGGGCTTCTCCAGGCACTGTCTCCTGGATGAACTCTAGTATGTGTCACATGATTGTGTAGATTTCATAGCTGGGCAACTGTGTGGATACACTGTTTCCCCTTACTAAGGCGTGCTCATACCAGCAGTAGTAAAGGCTAAAGGGATGATGTCACAGGAGAGTGGGTTTTGTGGAGCTGAGGGGGCAAGCCAGGCCCATTTGTATAAAAAGACAGTCCTGTTTATGCCAAAAGGCTCTGGGGAGGGGTTTAGGAGAGGCTGGACATTAGACCGCTGTTTCACCCATCCAGTGTTCATGGAGCCTCAGCTCTGTCTCCCTGCCCCCGGGGGTAACTGATTAGCTGGACCTTCCTCAGAACCCCAAAGCCTAAGTGGACTACCCTCTTAATTATCTATTCTACTTATTTATTTTTAGATATACATTGGATCAAATCCGGTCCTCATATATGCTAAGCTCAAGTGTTCCACTTGGTGGATATCTGCCACTGTCATTGGCCTTTACCCTGCTATGAGGTGAGTCCAACTCAAAGCTGAATGAATGCACAGGTTAAGTAGAAAATTGACTCATCCACCAATGGTCCAGCGTGCCAAGAGTTGAGTTGTTAGTGGCTGCTGACCTTTGGCGACTCTGAGGAACATGGCTCACTGTTACTACAACTTAAAAGTACTATAATTTTCTTTTAAAAAAAATTTTTTTTTTTTTTTTTGTTTTGGGGGGTGGCATTGGCGGCACACATGCATACCATGGTGGCTGTGTGAAAGTCAGAGGATAATTTATGGGAGTTGGTCTCTCCTTCCACCAAGTGGGCTTCACAGATCAAAACTAAGGTTGAGCCATCTTGCTGGCCCTAGAATTCAAAATTATTTTAAAAAATGTGTGCAAGTAAAAGAGTCAAACTGGGCAGGAAAACTAGGCCTGTGTAGAAGCCGTAGTTATCTACCTTACAGCAGCCTGGCCCTTCCTGATGTCTTCATTTCTGCAGCAATAATCTGAGTCTTCAATGACACATTTTGAGCTGTGTAGTGGTGGTGGTGCAGCATACCTTTAGCCCTAGCACTCAGGAGGCAAAGGCAGGTGGATCTGTGAGATCTAGGCCAGCCTGGTCTACAGAACAAGGTCCAGGACAGCCAGGGATCCACAGAGAAACCCTGTCTTGAAAAAAAACAACAACAAAACCCCCCAACGAACAAAAATGAATGCGTTTTGGATTAAAAAACAAAAACAAAAACAAAACAAAACAAAACAAAAAGCTGGTCGGGGGGAGGTGGCTACCTTTAATCCCAGCACTAGGAGGCAGAAGAAGTCACATCTCTGAGTTCAAGGTCAGTCTGATCTACAGAGTGAGTTACAGAACTGTCACATACAGAAACCTTGTCTCAGAAAACAAAAACAAAAAAAAAAAAAAAAAATTAAAATAAAAAAATAAAAATAAAAAAATAAATAAAATTAAAGGAAAAAAAAAAAAACAAAAAAACAAAGAACAAAAATCCTGAAAGACAGGAGAGTATGTCCCTGCCTCACTCTTAGGGATCTTTCTCACATCTTGGGCTAAAAGGACATTCATAGAGGAAAAATGCCCCTTGCATGTGAAAACATTCCACTCCCTCACACACTACGAAGATAGCACCACGTGAAGCTGCATGTTGCAGAGCACTGCCAAAACTGGAGTGACCCGTAGTTCTTGAAACAACCACCACTTTCCACTCAGAGCTGTCTCCTTCCTGCCCTCCTGGGCTTTGTCACCACTTGATATCCAAGCTGTCTGTGCAGGGCTCCAAGCTCTGGTATGTGGTGTGCAGCACCTCCTGGACTTTGGGGGACTCAGTACCCTCCAGCCACTCCTGATACAACTCCTCCACACGTGCACTGCTCTCTGGGGGCTGCACAGGGATGCTGGAATAGATCCCTTCCATCTGCTGCAGGAGTGCGCGATCTGTGTGGCCGTCCTCTGTCTGTGCTTGGCCTCTGCCATTTAAGCATCCTGAAAGACACACACAGGTGGACCTCTTCTTCCCTGAGGGATAGCCAGGTGTCAGGGAGCTTTACATCAAGGGACACAGTTGGAAGCAGGAGAAGCATGAAATAGGCAGTACCATGTGACTTGAGCTTGTTTCTGGGGCTCACAGTATTCTCCAAGGTTATCTTGGAGCCTGCCTAGGAGGAAAGCCCTGGGTGTTCTTTAGTCTTACCATATACATTACCCATAAACTAGTTTTGCCTGTAAGTCTTTAGAAGTGGGCAGCTTTCTGCTATCTGGATTCCTGACTTCCTTCTTAAAATTACCCAAAGAGCATAGAATGCCTGCAAAGCTGAGCACAACTGCTTGCACAGTGTGTCAATGTGCATTCCCAACAAGGCTGTATTAAGGCTGAGTGAGCTATGAGCTCTCCATGAGCACACATATCCCAGCCATATAGTCAAGTAAGTATGTGTCTCCTGCTGTCAGTACTACACATTCTCAAACCTGCAGATCACACCCCCCCCCCAAATGCATTAAGTACATAGGGGTGGGAATAGCTTGGTGGCAGAGCGTGTGTCTAGAATGCCAAGTTCCTAATTTCCACTCCTAGCATCAAGACTTTCATTTAAAAGAACCAGGACACAGGCTGGGAATATATAGCTCAGTGGAAAAGCACATACGTACCACACACAATGCCTTGGGTTCAGACCCCAGCACGTGGAGGCGGGAGGGGAGCAGGAACAAATGCTCACCTGGTCCAAGCCACTTGAAAACTGGACTTTTGCTGCCCACCTTTTCAGTGTGGGCTTGCACCCACTTCCTCGCCTTCCCAGGTCTCCCCAGAAAGCAATGTGGAGCCTCCTAGAGGTCCCACCCACCAGCCATCTTGTCTCCACTTGCTATAGTACAGGGCTGAGCCCCAGGAAAAGCAGATGCCGCCTGCTGTCATCCCCTCTTAAATGCTGGCCACTAGCAGTTTCTCTCCTCTAGAAGATCCTTTAGGACATGGACTAGAAATAGAGGCCTCTCCTGTCTTCATTTCTGACAATACACCTTGTCAGAACACTCTAGTGTTCCTGCTTGAGTACCTTGACCCAGACATTCCTGTTCTTGAGACATCTCCTCCACACCCAGGGGCTTAAACAGCCCACTTCAGATCAGAGGCTCCTCTCATTCCCCAATTCCTACACCTTCTCTATCATTAAGAGAGTCTAGGCATTTTATATGGAGAGATACCTTGCTCAGCCTAGACACAGAGGTATGGGGGTGGGGTGGGGGATAGATGCCTTGGTCCTGCCTCAGTGAGATGATGGGACGGCCTTAGTAGACTTCCTAGGGGAGGACTTACCTTCTCTGAGGAGCAGATGGGAGGTGAGGGGGTGGGGGAGCAAAAGGAGAGGAGGGAGAGGGAACTGGGATTGGAATGAAAAAATAAATTAAGTTTTAAAAAGAGAGAGGGAGGGAGGGAGGGAGGGAGAGTGCCTAGGCACTACATCCTATCCTAGCTCTGGTCTGCTTTCAGTTGTCTCTCCACAATAGATGAGAACTTGCCTCACCCGCCTGGGTCTTTACACCTGGATGGTTAATTTCCCTTAGCAGCGGGGAATCTTAGGGAACAAGTAATATCTGTCCTTTCCCGCTGCCACTTTGCACAAGGTCAGCTTCTACTAGTAGTCCCTGTGTACCAACTCTGTGTTATCAACTTTAGGAGCTGGCTCCCATCTGGCACCAGGCGGGGCTCCCATCTGGCACTTACAAGGGGATGGCTAAGGCCACAACTGTCTACTTCTCACATGCAGTTGAAGGAAGGGAACCTTCATGGCATGAGAAAGGAGCCTGTCCTGATGGTTACTGGTGGACAGGCTATTAGTGGGCCTTCTGCACCCCTTACCTTTGGGACATGCGAGTACCTCCACGAAGTGATATGGGAATTTGCCCTTCTTGAGCTTCAGGATCATGTTCTGGATATTGCGGAAACCATAGGCTGCAGCAAAGCGCAGTAAGACCTCCCCATTCTTCTCAAGGGTAACCTCATGGAAGTCTTTGTTTCTATAAACCAATAAAATGGATTTTAATGGTCAATGACCCAAAGATCACCTCTGTCCGTTTGAGTTACAGTCTTACTATGAAGCCCAGGCTGACCTTGAACTTGGAATTTTCCCTCTGTCTCCCCAGTGCTAAGGTTTACCATATCTGCCCATTTTTCAATTTAAGTTTTGAATGTCACTAATTAATGGGAAGACACACAAACGGCCCTTCTCCTCTAACCAGTGCTGGCTTTCCATAGAGCAGCCACGTATACCACACACGTCAGGCATACCATACACACTGCACAAAGGCAACATGCATCACACCCTGGCTCTGGCTGGTCTGTCAGCACCATTCCTGGGCACACCAGTTGTAGGTGTGCTGGCTCAAACCTTAATGTGCGGTAGTTGATCTCCTCTATGTGCTCTCCGAACAACTCTTTGGCTGCATGTCTGAAGACATGGGCCAGATGCCCATCTGAGCTCACTCCATCATGACGCCGTACTGCCACCTCCTTCACATCTCCAAACCTCAAACAAATGGGACAAAATCGTCATTAGTGCTGATGACGAGGCAGCAAGTATGTACTGGCTGGTTTTGTGTGCCAAGTTGAGTTATCAGAGAGGAAGGAGCCTTGGCTGAGGAAATGCCTGCATGAGACCCAGCTGTAAGGTATTTTCTCAGTTAGTCGTCAATGGGGGAGGGCCCAGCACATTGTGGGCAGTGCCATTCCTGGGCTGGTAGTCCTGTGTTCTAGAAGAAAGCAGGTCAAAACAAGCCAGTAAGCAGCATCCCTCCATAGCACCTGCATCAGCTCCTGCCTCCAGGATCCTGCCTTGTCTGAGTTCCTGTCCTGACTTCCTTCAGTGATGAATGACAATGTGGAAGTGTAAGCCAAATATACCCTTCCTCCCCAACTTGTTTTTTGGTCATGGTGTCTCAGAAACTCCAATTAAGACAAAGTACTAATCCAGTTTTTATAGGAACAGGATCCAAGGAGCCACATAAAGTGCAGTCCTTTGCAGGTATTTAAACTTTGGGGAGCCACCACGTGGATGCTGATCCTCTAAAAGAGCAGTAAATGCTCTTAACCCACTGAGTCATCTCTCTAGCCCCCAGAAGCATATTCTTTTTTTTTTCTAAAGATTTATTTATTATGTATACAGTGTTCTGCATGTATGTCTGCACGCTAGAAGAGGGCATCAGATCTCATTATAGATGATTGTGAGCCACCATGTAGTTGCTGAGAATTGAACTCAGGACCTCTGGAAGAGCAGCCAGTGCTCTTAACCTCTGAGCCATCTCTCCAGCCCCTAGAAGCATATTCTTAATGTGGTCTAATGAACAACATGAAATGTCATTTCATATCTAGCCCAAGGTTGCAAGTGGGGTTATGTCACTAGGTTCACTCACTTGCATCTTTGTTCAGCCACATACACTTTCAGGGCAGGATAGTGGTGTGGTGAATGAATACCTGAGGGTGATCAGCGTGTGCACTTGGTCTCTGCAATGTACTTTGTGTTGGACCCAAGGATGCAGCAAAAGCCAAAGTCCTAACTGGGCATCGGGACCACCAGGAGAAATAGAAACCCAGCAGCTGTGTTCTTGGTGCAGAGAGACCAGAGGGAGTTACAGTGTTAGATGTGTGGCTCTGCTCCACATAGCTTCTACACTTGCCTTCCTTCCTGAAGGATACAGTAAGCCCCCAGATCCCTGGCAGTACTAGAGAATAATGTCCCATTGCAGGAGCCTGCCTGAATCCATTTCAGGCAGCCCTGGAGCCTGCAAAGCTCAAGATGCCACTTACAGAGTATCCACAGCAACGTCTTTCACAGAGAGGTCACTCTGTTCCATTATCTGAGCAATTTCACCTGAAGAAAAACAAGAGGAACAAGTCACTGCAAGGAAGACAGGCGGCCTAGCGCTCTGGGCCAGCCAGGCTTTGTTTCTCCCAGGGGAACTGCATTAGAAACCCAGGACCCCTCCTTGCTGCATAATCCATTTTATATATCAGGAAAAAATAATGCTAATGTCAGGAAAGCACTACAGAGACGTGAGAACTGAATCCTCTTTTGGACCCTGAACTGTAATTGCTTCACGCTGCCTTGAAGTGGAAGCCTGTGTATGCTCCACACTGCATCACTGTAACACATGGACACTGTGCATTGGAAGCTGCCCATAGCCAGAAGCACTTTGTATGCTACCTTTTCTCTGCATAAGGGTTCCCAAGAAAATCCCCTGGTAGAGTCCCCTAGGCAGCCAGTAAGACACCAGGTACCGTGGGACAGCATTAGCACACAGCACAGGCTGAGTTTCCAGTGTGGTGCTAAGATGGTCCCCTGAAGGTTTTTATCCCATCATTGTTAGTAGAGAGATACTGCGCCCCTCCCTCAGCAAGTGTAGAACAGCACCACTGAACACTATGTCCTCCCTGCCACCCTGTTCCACCTGGATCAAAGCTAGAATCCCAGGGCTAGGAAGAAGACAGCTCCTGATCTTCAAGGTCATCCTGACAAGCAACCCGGCCTCCTGACCCTGGTTCTAAACACCTTCAAGGATCAGTTTCCAGAGTCTGATTCAAATAGACAAACCTGGATCCCAACAAACTCCCCACAAGCGCTCTTGGCCTTCTTCCCTCTGAAAAGCTCCCAGGACGCCATCTTCATCCCCAACCAAATTTGCCAGTCTCTAAAGCAGTGGTTCTCAATCTTCTTAATGCTTCAACCCCTTTTAATAAAGTTCTTCATGTCGTGGTAAGCCCCAACTATAAAATTATTTTCTTTGCTACTTTATGAATCATAACATAAATATGTGATATTCAGGATATCTGATACGTGAGCCCTGTGGGGGCTGCAACCCAGAGGTTGAAAACCTCCACTGGGAAGCATAGCATCTGAAAACTCTACCAGCATGGCCACGAAATGCAACATCACTAGACAACATGTGAATTTCCAACTTTATTCAGGGTAAAACATTCTGTGTGTCCTATAGTATACTGGTTTTCTCACATGTGGGAAGGTAGGAGGCTTTACAGCGGGTAGAGAAACATCCACAAAGAGACATGAATGAAACTCAACTCAGCCCAATTGTAGTTATTGGTGCTGGGCCAAGACTTTGAGAGTCTGAACACCAGTACATTTATTTTAGCCATATTTAAGCACAGCACAGTTTTGGAAAAAAAATTCTGATAACAATTAAGTTGGCCCTGTGATTACAATAAAGCTTAAGACACGTTTATATTGAAGTTCTTTACAAATACATATGGCTTCATCCCTAAGATGGTTTCTTGTTGATTTAGAAGCAATGCTCAAGATAAGGGTCTATGGAGAATGTCTGAGGTAAACATGGAAGTCAGGATTTGGTCTGGTCCTAAAATAACATAGAAGTCACTTAGGCTGTTGTAAAGCACAAAAGACATTGCTCATAATGATGGTATTATGGCTAGAAATAATGCTAGATTATGAGAAAAGGGTCTGGGATAAGTAAAACCTGAGTTCTGGGGGATATGGACAAAGCCTGGCTCAACAGCCAGTAAAGGATCAGCAGGCTGTAAACTATGTCCACTCCCAGAATACCAGGAGGATGACAGGTTAAACATCTCTTCCCTTTGAAGGATGCTCGCATGTTCCTGACTTCTTCAGGGATTTTCTGTGTGCACAAGACCTTTCTGCCCTCTACAGGAAAGGGTGATGATGGGCTGTGATGTAAGTACTCATCACCTAAGAGCCATGTTGCCAGTATTGTTCTCCCAGAGACCTGACTCATCTGCAGGAAGACTGACAGGAGGCAGGGTGCAGAATCTTCCTCTTTGCTTTAGACCACTGAACCCCTAAGAACCCTTGGCTATCAGTACCATCAAGCAGCTTGGCCAGGCTGGCCTGACAGAGACATGCTCACTTTCTTAGTTCAAGAACAGCTATCCACCTCTCACCTGATGTCAGCACACAGTCGGTGCCCCTGGCACCATTCAAAGTAGTGGAAAGTCCTTCTCGAAGAGCTTCCAGCTTCTTATCATAGCAAGGAGCCACAACAACGTGGAAGATTTTCTCTGGAGACAGATTCTGTGGAGAAGACCATGCAACTTAGAGCTTCATGGAAGCAATGATGGGGGAGTGTGGGGAGTGTTGTGGAATATTATTTTAAGGTGTGTTAGTTACATTTGTTTATGCTGTGGAACATTTGTTTTAATGATGCAAGGATGTGTTGCATTCTTTTATGTTATATTTGTTTAACTCTTCGAAGCTATGATTCCTTGCCTATCTAAAACACCTAATGGTCTAATAAAAGAGTTGAACACTCAATAGTTAGGCAGGGAAAAAAATAGGTGGGGCTGGCAGGCAGAGAGAATAAATAGGAGGAGTCATCTGGGAAGAGGGGAGAGGACCAAGAAAAAACAAGGAGAAGAGGACATCAGGGGCCACCCACCCACCCAGCCACCTCGCCACCTACACACCCACCCAGCCAGACACCTCGCCACCCAGCCAACCGCCCAGCCAGTCAAGGAGTAAAAGTGAAAAAGAAAAAAGGTAGTTGAGATAATTTAAGAACAGTTGGAAGGAAACAAGCCAACCTAAGGCCAAGTGTTTATAAGTAATAGGTCTCTCCATGTGTGATTTATTTGGGAACTGGATGATGCTCCCCCCCCCCCCCGAGGAGTATAAACAGTAAAGAGTAAAAAATCTACAAGAACAGAGGAGTCCTAAATGCTGCTCCCACCCTACCCATATATGGTACTGTCTCATGAGCTCTGCACAGGTGAGAACAGGTCTGTACTCCACCTGTTTTTCCCAAAGACTTTCTGGAGCTGTTCAAGTAACAACATCTAGGCCACCCTGACCTGAGACAAACCCAGAGCAGAGCCAGTTGCCCAGTGACTTTTACACTGAGGCCAGAGTTGAAAAGCCCTACTCTGGGTAGGGGTAGAATCCAAGAGGAAACACACCTGGATTCTAGCCCTCTAGGGGGTTGTCCTTTTGTGTATGTTTCTCTTATTGGTTGATGAATAAAACGCTGTGTGGCTAGTGGCCAGGCAGAAGGACAGGCAGGGCTGCCAGAGAAGGAGAATTCAGGGAAGTGTAGGCAGAGAACAGTCGACATGTAGCCACTGGGAGGAGAATGTACCAGGCATTCTCCAGTAAGATATGACCATATGGTAATACATAGATTGATACAAATGGGTTAATAATTAAGACGAGCTAGCCAATAAGAAGCTCTAGTCATCGGCCAACAGCTTTATAATTAATATATTGTCTGTGTGTTTATTTGGGGTTCAAGGGCCATGGGACCAGCTTAGACAGAAAGCTCATGTTACAATGGCCAGGTGTGGTAGCACATTTCTTTAGTCCCAGCATTCAGGAGGCAGAGGCTGGCAGATCTCAGAGGTCACCCTAACCTACATATCAAACTCCAGGACACCTAGGATTATGTTGAGAGTCCCTGTCTCAAAAAAACCAAACCAAACCAAAACAAAAAGGCAGGCTAAGAGGGGCATTGGTGGCCTGGAGCGAAAAGCCAGGATAGAGGCGAGGCTTAGCTTCCTGAGGCAACCAGAACAGAAGCACTCAGGTAGGGTCTGCATAAGTGAGGTCCAGGGCCACCCTGTCCACGGAGTGTACAGTGTTTCCCCTCGGGCCTTGCTCATCTTGAGTCTACCCTCTGCTGCTGTTCTCTGGAAAGGCTGGCTTACCTGCTGTCTAGCAAAGTAATCCTTCACCAAGGAACCCATGATCTGCTGGGGAGACTTGGCAGTGCAGAGATGGGGAATGACTGGGCGGCCCAGGACCCGCTCAGCATATCTGACCCATCCTAGAGAAAGAGAAACAGAAAGATGCAAGGAAAGAACAAATAGGGTCAGCTCCCTCGGCTTCTTCCTGCCTTCTGACTGAGACTGTCACCCCATGCTGAGCCAAGACACCTTCTCTGCATTGTCCCTAATCACAAGATGTCCTGCTCTACAAGGCTGAGTGGGATGGACCTGCCCACTTCCAGCCAAAGCCAGGGTCACATTTATTTCTACAGTTCTGGTGAAATGGTACTAGCAGGCTGTGCTCACCAGGACAGGCAGAGGTCAACATGGGCAGTTCACGCTGCTCCTCACTGTGCCGGTGATACCTTCGTACAAATTCCTTCTGAGTCTCCAGGATGCTGAAATCCGCAGCGATTGTGGTGTCAAATACATAGTGCACCCCTGGAGGAAAGAGGAACATGGCCATGTCTCTCAGACCAAGTATGGATCCAGATCACAGCTAACATCTAAGTACTCTGTTATTCATTTTATATTAAGACAAGGTCTTATTCTGCTAGCTGGTCCAGAGCTCATTAGGTTATGAAGACTAGGCTGGCTTTGAACTTATGATGATCTATCTGCTTCACAGGTGCTATGATTAAAATCATGGACAATAACACTTGGCTTTTTATTGTTATTTTTTTTCTCTTTATTATGTGTACAGTATTCTGCTTGCATGTGTGCTTGGATACCAGAAGAGGGAACCAGATCTGACTATAGATGGTTGTGAGCTACCACATGGTTGCTAGGAATTGAACTCAGAGCCTTTGGAAGATCAGCCAGTGATCTTAACTGCTGAGCTATCTCTCCAGCCCCCTATTGTTGTTACTTTTGACAAGGTGTCTCTACATAGCCCAGGTTGGCCATGAAGTTGGAAATCTTCTTATCTCAAGCTTCGGAATGCTAGCATAATAGGTAGACACACCACCCCCAGCTTCTGAGCACCCTAATTCTTACTCAACTTAGCCTTCTCCTGCTTCAGATGCAAACACAGACCACAGACTTGATGGCGCCTGTCTCTCCTCACCATCACCGCAGTTAGTCTTGAAACTTTTCTTACAGCGGTGGCCTGGTTCACACTTTACTTGTTTGTTGTTTGAAACAAAGTCTGCTATATAGTCCTGGCCAGCCTGGAACTCATGGATGATCCTCCTGCCTCTGCTTCTTGAGTGCTACAAGGTCTTCCTGACTCTCACTTTTATGGATGGTATTGAGGGGCAATGAATTTACACCAGCACTCCCCTGCACTGGAGAAAGCCTTTACTTGCTGAACCATTTTGCTGGCCCTACACCTTACTTTTTGAGACAGTTTTCTCACGGAAAAGAACTTTGCTATTTTGGCTAGACTGGCTAGCTATGGAGCCCCTGAAATCTACCTGTCTCAATTCTTCCAATGCTGGAGCTACATTCAGGAGTCAGCTGCTATGCCTAGCCTTTTTTTTCCCCCCCTGATAGGGTTTCACTGTATATCTGTGGATGGCCTAATACTTACCATGTAGACCAAGCTGACCTTGAACTCACAGAGATCCACCTGCTTCTGCCTCCCAAGTGCTGGGATTATAGGTGTGTGCCCCACTGGAGCAAATTGCCACCTTTCATTCCTCATATATAGAACACATGCCTGGGGCTAGAGATGTAGGTGAATGCTGTAGCTTACCTAGCTAGAAAAAGGTTTGTAGGAAAATGGACATTAGGCATTGCAGAAATAATTATCTTATCAAATTCTCATTCTGTGAGGTGGAGGCAAGAATAGGAGTCTCCTAGTAATCACTGTCTACACTATCAGCAGGGGTTCATGTCTTACTACAGACTGGCCAACCTTGTTGTAACAAAACATCTATCTGCACACAGCACAGGGTATGTGACACCCACCTACACTGGTAGGAAGCTGGACTCATGACACAAGGAATAGGGTCCTTTGACATTCCAGGAGTTTCTTTGAAGTTTTTCTACCCGTGCCCTTGAAAATTGAACTTGAAAAATAAAAAGAGCCCTTCATGAACTGAAAGTAGACATCTACAGTATAATAAAAAAGTAAATGGCTGAAGCCAGGCATTGGTGGCACATGCCTTTAATCCCAGCACTCGGGAGGCAGAGGCAGGAGGATCTCTGTGAGTTCAAGACCAGCCTGGTCTACAAGAGCTAGTTCCAGGACAGTCTCCAAAGCTACACAGAGAAACCCTGTTTCCAAAAACCAAAGAAAAGAAATGTAAATGACTGGACTGTGGTGGCACACACCTTTAATCCCAATACTTGGAAAGCAGAGGCAGGCAGATCTCTGTGAGTTTGAGGCCAGCCTAGTTTACAGAGTGAGAGTTCCAGAACAGGCCGGGCTACAAGAAAAACACTGGTCTTGAAAACTAAAAAAAGCAAACAAATAAATAAACAATTAAGAAAAAATTTGTTAGAAAGTGACTGACTCACCAAGACTTTTGAGGAAGCCACAGAGTCTTCTAGAGGCATCATTGACACTGAGGTTGAATTTAGCAGCAAAGTAAGACAGAGACTGAGGACACACAGACACAACCAGCACTCTGTGCTTCGAGGTGTCACATTTCTACAAGGAAAAACAATAACATCACATGTGCGTTGATTACACTGAGAACGAAATAAGGCAATGTATAATGGAAAATTCATAGTAAATGAGATTTTTGTTTGTTCGATTTTGTTGTTGTTTGTTTTTGAGACAGTTTCTCTGTGTAGCTCTAGCTGTCTGTAGACCAGACTGGCCTCGAATTCAGATATTCGCCTGCCTCTGCCTCCAAAGGCATGCACCACAACCTAGCAAAACATAAAAGTTTTAAAACACATATAGAGCTATAGAGCAAGTTCTAGGACAGCCAGGACTACACAGAGAAGAAAAACCCTGCCTTGAAAAACAAACAAGCAAGCCAAGCATTGGTGGCGCATGCCTTTAATCCCAGCACTCGGGAGGCAGAGGCAGGCGGATCTCTGTGAGTTCAAGTCCATCCAGAGCTAGTTCCAGGACAGGCTCCATAGCAATACAGAGAAACCCCATCTCGAAAAACCAAAAAAAAAAAAAAAAAAAGAGACCCCCCCCATCTCGAAAAACCAAAAAAAAAAAAAAAAAAAAAATAGCAAACAAACAAAAAGATACACAGCATCTTGGTAATCATATCACTCAGGAGACTGAGGCAAGAGGATCAACAGCTCTTCTCTATGCCTAGGCTTCCAGAGTTGTGTATGAGGCTTAAGGTGGGGCTCATTATCTGCAGGTGAAATGCAGGATGCCAGGGATATCTACAATAAAGTCCTAACAAAATCTAATTTAGAAGTAAACTTAAAAGCATTTCTATGGCCTGGCTGACTTTGAACTTGCAATTCTCCTGCCTCAGTCCCCCAGTAGTTGGAATTACAGCCCTTACCATCAGTTTCAGCTGATACCATACCTTATTAAGGTTCAAGACATGGAAGAAGTGCTTGGCACTCTGCTGGGAAAGTTGGACACCTTCCTCCACAGTCACACAGCTGTCACATGCCAGGCAGTCACTCAGAAATATCTTAGCATCTGCCAACTTATGGAATTCTCCCTTCTAGGAAAGAAAATGGTGTTAACATTGTTTCTTTTCCTTTTGATTTTTCCTTTCATTTTTTTCGAGACAGGGTTTCTCTGTGTAGCCCCATTTGTCCTAAAACTCAATCTGTAGACCAAACTGGCCTCAAACTCAAGAGACCCACCTGTTTTATTTTTGGGTTTTTTTTTTTTTTCCATTTTTTATTTGTTTGGTTTTGTTTTTTGTATTTTCGGTAGCATTGTTTCTTTGGGGAGGGTAATTGTATAAGCATAATAAAGAAAAGATCTACCCTTAACATGGAGACAAAGTAAGGCCTGAAGTGTCAGGAGGAGCTACTAGGCAATAGTCTCTGTTCTGAACAGCTCATGGCAATGGAGGCAGGCCTTTAACGGCTCTTAGGGTCATGCAGATGACTGTCAGGAGTGAACTAGCCCCAGTGTTATCTTGTGGAAAGATGATACTCCTGCCTGCTGCAAACTGACCTGATGGACATCTCCTCTCCTCCCATCCTTCCTATCCACTGCTTGTGAACAAGCCTCAGGTTTCCCTGCCTAGCTCCTCCAGCTCTACACTGTTGAACAGACTTTCCAAACAGTTATGACTGGCTCGAGGTTTTCACCTGTGTGCAACACAGACATCAGCTCCCAGTTCTGAACTGCTGGTGCTCATTTCTGCCTACCTCAATAAAGGGGTCTGAACACCTGGATGCTGGGACACTAGGGCCTTGGTCCATTTAACCCCATTTGTACACCCCCACCTCCCCTACCCTCCACCCCTACCCATGCCCTACTCTGCTGGGAAAGTTGCATGCCAGAGAAATCCACTAAAGCACAAGCCACATTTCCACGGCTCAAAGCCCCTGACAGCACTCTCTCAGAACAGGATCCACAGCACAGCTTTTGCCTGCCCTGCCCTGCCCTGTTCTATCCAGCCCAGAGGCTCGCATTCAGCCACACTGGCTTTGTTCTTGAGTTCTTCCACAGGAAATATTCCTAACTGAGCTGGCATCCTGAGATTTATTTTCAGTGCCCACTACCACAGTGTCAACTTGCTTGTCCCTCCCTAATGACCACACAGAGGTCGGCATCTTATGTTCCTTATGCTCCCCAGAACCTCTTACGAGCCTAGAAGGTGCTTAGGTGCTAGAGGGATAGTTGAGTGACACACCTCTCCTAGCAAGTGCAAAGCTCTAGGTTCAAATCATATTCAGAAAAAAAAAAAAAAAATCAAAGTAAGCCAGGTGATGGTGGCACATGCTTTTAATCCCAGGACTCCTGTGGCAGAGAAAGGATCATTGAGCTGAAGGTCAACATGGTATAGACCACATCCCAAGCCATAGGGATACATAGTGTGACCCTGTCTCAGAAAGAAAAATAAATAGAAGCTGAAGATGGCTCAGTAGTTAAGAGCACTGGTTGCTCTTTCAGAAGACCCAGGTTTGATTCCCAGCATTCATATAGTGGTTAATAACTATCTGTAACTCCAATTCCAGGGGAAGCAAACATCCCCTTCTGACCTCAAAGGGCACCAGGCACTTATGTGGTGCAGAAATTCATCTGATGCTCCATCCTATCTTGAATTGTTACTTTCATAAGAGCTAGTTCAAGGACAGGCTCCAAAGATACACAGAGAAAACCTGTCTCAAAAAACTAAACAAATAAACAAACTCCACACTAAACTACCAAGGTGCTGGTTAGACTGTATTCAAACTTATCTCATCCTTACCAGAACACTGAGAGGGAAGAAACCCAACTCCCCACAACACTGATAAGAAATAGGACCTCACCTCTTCTGGTGTGCCAGCAAACATGCAGGCAGCACACTATATACATAATAAATAAAAATAAATCTTTAAATAAAAAAAAAAGAAAGAAATAGGGCCTTAAAGAGTTGTAGGATTTTTTATTTCATGTTTTTTTTTTTTTTTTTTTTTTTTTTGTTTGTTTGGTTTTTTTTGGAGACAGAATTTTCCTGTATAGTCTAGATAGGCCTCAAACTCATGACACTCTGCCTCAACTTCTCAGGTATGTATGCAAATGTGACTAGATTTCTTTCCAAAGTCATGCCGCAAAGTATAAGCATTAGGGAACAGTCCTGGTGTCGAAAGCACCGGCCCAAACTGACCCAGGACGCCAGGGGCCACTGCTCTTGATACACTGCTGTTCCCCAAAGGCATCATCTCCAAAGCACAGTAATGACACACAGGAGAGCCAGGACTATGCCCACCAGATGAAGCAGTACATCAGAACTACTAAAACAAAGGAAAATCCTGCCACCTACTTCTCCCATGTGATTAATCCTCCACTTATGAAACAAAACAAAACTTGTTTTTTGTTTTTCTTTTAAACACTGACTGATTGCAGCTTGCTAAATAGTGTGTGGGGGTTCAGGTGGGGAAGCTTGAGCCATGGCACATGTGTTGGCGCAGAGGCAGAAAGACAACTTGTGAAAGTTGGCTCTCTCCTGTTATCTATGTGTTCACATGTCACATATGGGTCACTGGAATCAAACTGACATCCTGAGCCTTAGTGGCAAGTGTCTTTACCAGCTGAGCTATCTAACTAGCTCTAAAATCAATTTGTTTGTTTGTGATTGAGCTTAAGCCTCAGGATAGCCAGCCATCAGTGGATTGAACCCTTAGCCCTCAGTTATTGTTTTTGAGACAAGGTTTCATTGTATAGTTCACACTGGGACTCCAGAGGTATGTAGCCATGCCTGACTAGTCCTAATATTTTCTAAGAGAACAGTGACCGTAACTATTCTGTGAATCCAGAACACAGCAGGACACATGCAGAGGCAAATGCCCCTCAGACCATGAAATAGGGTAGGAATAAAACCAGCTCAGAGTAAGTGTGAATCGGTGAGTGCAAGTAAGTATCACTAGGAGCTAAAACAAGAACAGAACTGAAGAAATGGCCATTTAAACAGGAAGCTCAGAGACTCATAAACATGAGTTGTGTCGTTTCACACACCACGAATCTAAGTTCCTTCCACTTTACAGAACATGGGCTTCAACAGTGCACTAGGAAGTCTCGGTTTCTCATGTAGTACCTGGCCTGGTATGTCTGAAGTGACTCAAGGCTGTCCTGTACATGGCCCTTTCCACTTTTTACTTCAATCTTTCTAAGAGCAGTGAGGTGCAAGGTGATCTGCACTACCAGGAGAAAACACAGCAGCAGCAGCTCTGCTCACATCAGGCTGACACAATCTGAAATGTTTACTTGCCTCTTCATTCTCCTGGGCTGGACTTGGTGCACCAAGGGACACATTCTCCTGGTCATCAGTTTTTGATTTTTTACTACATTCCTTTAAAAAAAAAATGGGGGGAGGATAAGGAAATGTTAAACAGGAAAATTATTTTTCTTTATTTTAGCTTTTTTTGAAATTAAGTCTCTTTAGTGCTATGTAGGACAGGCTGACCTCAAACTCAGAAATTATCCTGCCTCTGTCTCCCAAGTACTAGAATTAGGTGTATTGCTACCATAGCAGGTTTATAACATGAGATAGGTTCTTGATAAATCGCACTGTCTAACTTTGAGTTCATGATCTCCTGCCGCGATCTCTCAAACACTGGGGTCACAGGTGTGTAGCACCAAGCTCAGCCTAGAATAATTTAGTGAGATTACCAAAAAAACAAAACGTACCCCGAGCCGTTAGTCTTACCTCTAGAAACCCTTTCCACAGGATTAAAATCATCCATACTCAAGGGCAGATACACATAAACACACACCCCTCTATTTGCATTGTTTTTGATGATTAAGAACAGAAGTCATAGAGCCCTAATGGGGTCAAGAAAACTTAGATGTGGCTGATACAGGTGAGCCCCCCGAAAGATGTTTACCATAAGTAGTAAGGAAAAAAAGAACAACTTATGGAGTATTTGGATATGATAAACCCCCCCCTCAAAAAAAAAAAAAATCCTGCACATGAATCACGCGGCTACCACCATGTGGAAGCAAACGTGATGTTTGTCAATCACGTCAATCACCTAGCGGGGCAGGACAGGAGGGCCTGCTCTTAATTCCTCTCCACCTGTTTTCATTGACACGGTAAGTACACAAGTTTGTTGTCCTTGTTTTAATGTCAGAGCCGCTCAAACATTTGGATGACTTCTTTAATCGTGTACTTCCATAACAGCACGGGGCCCAGGGCATAGCTTCCAGGGCGAGTGCGGCGGTGCACCCGCCCGCAGTGGCCCGCAGCCAGCTCGCCTCCCAGTCCTCGGCAGACAGGTGACGCCTGTCAGACTGACAACAGAAAGGAAGCCCGACCCTCGGCACAATTCGCAGCTTTGGCTTTATCCCCCCAGTCCCACCGGACAGCGCACCCACCTTCCGTGTGCAGTGCTCACACTTCATCTGGAGCGGGACTAGCGGGGAGGCCGACGAGCCTCGGCCGAGCCGAACGAGGAAGACTGGAACACCGCCGCCTGCCGCTGGCTAGCGACCCGCGACCCTTTGTTGTCTTCATCCGCAGAGGCCCCGCCCCAGGACCGTAGTGGACCAATGAAAGAGCCGAAACAAGATGAGCCACACCCTTGGGCCAATGAGAAGAGTACGAGGCTAGACTAGCACACCTACCCCACCTCCTCCGCCTAAGCCAATGAGAGTGCCAGGAAGTGGCAGGTCCCTTCCAGGAGCCAATCAGAAAGTGGAGGAGGAGCTTGTCCTTGGGCTGGAAGTTGACCGTCCGGGCCATAGTCTCCTGTCAGAGTTTGCCTGGTTCGCTAAGGTCTGTAGTGAGAGCGGCGATGGTAGGTGTATGAGGCAGGAGTGCGCTGGCCGAGCGGAGGAGGCCGGACCACAGCGACGGCAGAGCGCCTCGCGCAGAGGCCGCGGCCTGGCCAGCTCAGCCGAGCTCCGCTGCAGCTCCTCCAGGGCGGGGTAGGCGCCGCCCTCTGCCACCGCCATGACCACCCTGCAAAGCCTCACGTAGGCTGGTGCGGCAAAAGTGCACATGCGCAGCAGGCTTGCATTGCTTTATGGGTTTGGCTGAGTGTCTGAAGTCGGCTGACCTTGAAGTTTGGCATGGCATTATACTATGTATCACTTACAATTAAGAAAATACCAAAATTCTGCCCGGCGTGGTGGCTCACATCTTTAATTCCTACAAGAGGCCAACCTGGTCTACAGAGGGAGTTCCAGAACAGCCAGAATTACACAGAGAAACCTTTCTCTAGAAACCAAAACAAACCAAAAAGGCTTTTCTTTTGTTAAAATTTATTTAACTGAGCTGGAAAGATGGCTCAGTCGTTAAAGGCTAGGCTCACAACCAAAAATTTATTTAACTAACCTTACTAACCTTGCTTTTTGGCTTCCGTAATTCTGCTTCTGGCTAACTGTTCTTGTTAACTGAAGTACGTCAACCCAGAATGTTTTTTGTACTTAAAACTCTCACCCTGAGAAAGGCCTGGAGCTTCCCTGGGAGCCTGAATACCCAGTGTAGTCACCTAATAAAGACTTAGTATTGTGGATACCTCACAATACTAGGACAGGCAAGACTACATTAAAAGATTCTACCACAAAAACAGAGGTAGAGGTAGCAGGATTGTGGATTTCAGGTCACCTTGGTTTACAAAGTGAGAGCCTGTCTCAAAGGTAGATTTTATTTTAGTTCACTGTTTTCAATTTTTAAGATTTATTTGGTTTATGTGTATGATGTTTTGGCTATATGTATGTATCTAGGCCAGGCCACATTTTTCCCTGGTACCTGGGGACATAAGAGGATTGAGGGTTTTCATATAAATGCTAGAAACCAAACTCCAGGTCCTCTGCAAAAGCAACAAATGTTCTTAACCACTGAGCCAAATCTCCAGCCCTGGTATTCTCTCTGTGTGTGTGTGTGTGTGTGTGTGTGTGTGTGTGTGTGTGTGTGTTTCTGGCTGGCCTCGAATTCTGGGTTCTGATGCCTGGGACTCCTGAGTAGAGTGCTGGGACTAAAGGGGTTTCCACCACTGACATGCCAAAGCTGGGTTTTAAGAGGAGAATGTCATTTTTGATTTATCGACTGCCTGGAGCCAGAGAGGATTGAGTGCAGGCCCTTGTGCATTCTAGGCAAGCACTCTACCATTGAGCTACACCTCCAGTTCTCTTTTTACTTATTTTGAGATAGGATCTCACTAGATTGCCTTGGACTGACTATATATCCCAAGCTGGCTTAGAATTTGTGGAGCAATTCTCCTAAGCCTTTCAATACTGAGGTTAGAGGCATATATTGAAATAGCTCACCCAGTTTACTTAAAATATAAAATGTGTTTGGCATGATAATCTGTATATATATATTTTTTTTTCGAGGCAGTGTTTTTCTGTGACTTTGTAGGTTCTCCTGGAACTCATTCTGTAGACTAGGCTGGCCTCGAACTCAAAGAGATTCGCTTGCCTCTGCCTCTTGAGTGGTTGGATTAAAGGCATGTGCCACCAACGTCAGGCGCTGATGTGTATTTTTATAAGGTCACAAAATTATAAAACACATGACAAACAGATTTAAAGAGGACAGTAAAGTAATAGAAATCTCAGCTCCAGCATGACATTCTAGTGCCCACGATCACTTTATGTGTGTTGGTGGTAACTACAAAATGGTGACAAGTGCTCCAGCTTTTAGTGCCACTGTAGTTATAGTGTGCTAAGTCTCAAGGAAACCAGGGACAAATGGCTAACTGAGGTGCTATCATATCAAAGCAGATGCTGCCAGGCTCTCAGTGAGTACCTGTTACAGAGTCCTGGCTCCTCAGCACTTCCCATACCCACCCACCATCCTAAACCTCTCCAGCCACTGAGCTTCCCTTCCCTTCCCCTAGCTTCTCTTTTCCTGTAAAACCCAGCCATTTTGGCCACACACTCTCTTGGCCTCTTGGTTTTCTCTGCCCTGTTGGTCTCGTTTTTTGTCTCCCTCCTCTTTTCCTCTATGGCTTTGCCCCTCTCTCCCTCCTTTCATGGCTCAGTCTACTCTGCTGGCCATGTTCAATCTGGCCTCTTCCAGAAGCCTCTGACTGTGCTTTCCCTCATATCTATAATAAAAACCTCTTCACGTTTCATTTATTTTACATCTTTTGTTAGGTTGACTTCAGGCAGGCAGTGTTTCCCAAGCTGTCCTAGTGTGACCTCTTTATCATTTCCTTAAAACTCCAGAACCATCCAGGGGTGGTGGCACACACCTTTAGTCTCAGCACTCGAGGGGCAGAGGCAAGCAGATCGCTCTGAGTTCGAGCCAGCCTGGTCTACAGAGTTAGTTTCATGTCAGCCAGGGCTACACAGAGAAACCCTGTCTCCATAAGTCAATAAACAAACAAATAGATAAATTAAAGGATAGATGGTAGACAGACAGACAGACAGACAGACAGACAGAAGGAACAGGCAAAAGCACCTTGGCCACCACTTTGCCGTTTTGATCTCAGACTCCATTCTACCTGGAGGGGGAAACAAAGTTCAAGTTCCCAAGCCCCAGCATAGCTAGGAACCTTCCTCCTCCTTAAACCATAGAAATAGTAGTTATGCATCTAGTTCTCTAGAAACATGGCTGGTCCTAACAACAGAAGGAACAAATAAATCTGATTGGCTGAACTGAAAAGCTTGCATTGTATGTATTGACAGTGATGGACACTCAAGGAATCTTTAAATCCTTATTGGTGAAAATTGGCAACAAATGTTTGTGATTTTTGTTCTTAAATACTTGCTTCATCTGGGTGGTATTCGGGGTCACGGTTCAGCTCCAGAGTCTCTTTGTTCTCCCAGATCCATCAGTTCCCTCTCCTTCCCCCCTCCCCCCCCCCTTTTTTTTTTTTTTTTTTTTTTTTTTTTTGTTTTTCGAGACAGAGTTTCTCTGTGTAGCTTTGGAGCCTATCCTGGAACTCGCTCTGTAACCCAAGCTGGCCTCGAACTCACAGAGATCCGCCTGCTTCTGCTTCCCAAGTGCTGGGGCTGGGACTAAATGCGTGTGCCATCAACATCCGGCTTCTTTTGTGCAGCCCTGTATTAAATCTTGCCTTGAGGTAACTCTTGTGTCTGCTTGGGTTGATTCAGAGCCTCGGACCACAACAAAAGTGAATAAATAATTGGTATAATCTGATCCATTACTAAGGCTCCTAAATAATGGCGACATGCTGCCACCCTTGGCAAGCCCGAGGTTAAAATCAGGCGCCCCATCGACGGTGCCCGCCCTCCAATGTCAGGCCCCGCCCCCGTGAGTGCGGCCTTAGGGGCACAACTCCTGAATGCGTAATTACTCATTCTCCACCCCTCTCGGAAGTCCCCCACCTGGTTTTTAGCCCGGAAGTCCTCGGGACTGAAGTCCGGAAGTTCTGAAGGCTGTTCCTTAGTCCCCTCCCGCTAATTCGGTACGAGTCACTCGGTGCCAGCGCCAGTGTGTGTCCCAAGGCTTTTCTGGTTCCGTCTCGCTGTGCTTCCCATTCTCATGTCCGTGCCCTGTGCGGGTCATTGCTTGCGGTCCTGGATCGGGCGCAACACAGATTGAGCAAACCGGGCGTGTGCACTCCGGAGGAGCGAGCGTAACGGGCCGCTTGTGGAGCTTGTTGGTAACTGTGGTCAGAGGGAGGCAAGTTGTGTGCCTAACTAGGATTCTAGAGGATGTAGAGTACGATGCTTGACTGCACCTGGTACCCAAGAAGCCACTCAAGACTTTGGGTGTTGTCTCCAGGGGTCTTGCCGCAGTGTCCCATTAATTCGGATGTATTTGGGCCATAGTATGACGGTAGAAACTCACAGTGGCACTTTCAGTTCCCTTTCTTGGTGGGAAGAGGAGTTTCTGGAAGATTCGGGTAAGGTGCCGAAAGTCTGAGAGTTGCTGGGCTAACAGAACAACTTCAAGACGAGGGTTCGGTTAAGGAAGGGGTTCCCGGATATGACTGTGGCTAGGAAGTGAGACCAGGCCTCACTCTCCGGGCTGTGTAGTCCCTGTGAGTTGAGACGGGTCTTGTGGACCTTCCTGTGGCCTCCTGTCTAGACTGATGAGGTGCTGCCTCTGTGCAGTGGTTGCAGGCTTCAGCCGTGTGTCTTTCCCAGCCGGGTCTGCTGTGAAGCGAATCCCAGATCCCAGGGATGTACATGCAGGTGCAGACACGAACCAGCACCCGCCTCCATCTGACGAGGGCTCCAGGAATCCGGTCTTGGTCCCTGCTGGTCGGTAAGGCTTCTCAGTTTTCCCCAAGTCAAATCAAATCTTAAAAGTAATGTGAACAGTCTCTTTGTATGCTGTTAGAGGTTCTTCTCAATACAAGACCTTCATTAACCTTGGTGTGCCTTTCCCTTCAGATGACATGCAGGGTCTCCTTGCACGCTGGACAAGCTCTCTTAACAGACATGCACTCCCAGCCTACCTGCTTTCTTGAGGTCACTAGGTTTTCTTTCATGTGACAGGTGATCATGAGTTCACATTTCTCTTCTTCCCTGTCTCTGTCCCCTTCATAAGTGCACTTAGCCTCCTGGACTGTCGCCCCCATCCCTGCCTATCAGAAGTCTCTTGCATCTCAGGGACAGCTGCACTTGTGTTGGCTAGGCTGTACAGAGTCTGAGGTGAGGCACTGGCTGTGACTCCAGCAGCAGCGTCTCTGTAGTTTGTCCTTTATGATTCGTGAAGGTCTTCATGACGTTCTGCATGTTATGCTCTGTGTTGTGTTACAGTTCTCTGTGTAGTCATGTCTTTGTTTCCTCATCGCATGTAGGCAATACTGACATCTGGGTCATTTGCATTTTTCATTTGGTGGCAGACAAGTCCGGTGAATGCCATAGATAGCATAATCTTTTTTTATTTAATTTTAAAATTATGTGTGTATGTGTATCCATGTATCTGTGTGTGGTTCCGTGCAGGTGCATATAGGTGCCTGTGGAGTCCAACAGAGCATTAGATCCCTGGAGCTGAAGTTACGTGAGGTTGTGAGTGGTCTGCAGGTGCCAAATGTTGGACTTTTCTTTGGGCTGCCAGTTCACAAAAAAGGAAATGGAAATTTCTTATTATGAAAGTTTGGCCTTTAGCTTAGGCTCGTCCTCAACTAGCTCTTATAACTTAAATTAACCTGCTTCTATTAATCTACGTTCTGCCATGTGGCTTTTTTTCTATAAATAATTTAACTTTATTTTATGTACTTTGGAGTAAAGGTAGATTTCCCTGGAACTGGAGTTACAGACAGCTGTGAGCTGCCATGTGGGTGCTGGGAATTGAACCTGGGTCCTTTGGAAGAGCAGCCAGTGCTCCAAACACTGAGCCATCTCTCCAGCCCCCATGCCATGTGGCTTTTTTTAAACCTCTCTTCCATTCTGTATGTCTGACTTGGTGTGCTTCTTGCTGGGGTCTCTGAGCGCCTAGATTCATCCCAAGTTCCTTTCACTGCCCAGGAGTCCTGTCTCTGCATAGCTGTTGGCTATTCAGCTCTTTATTAAACCAATCACAGTGACACATCTTCACACAACAGTGCTGAGGACTGAACTGTGTTCCTCTGCAACAGTATATATTCTTAACCAGTAAGCTATCTTTCCAGTCTCCTATCCCCCATTTTTAAACCAGCTTCTTGGCTGTGTCACCAACCCTGAACTAGGCAGCCTCTACCTGCTGCCCCTGAACAAGTTGTCCTGCCTTGAGACAGGCCTGCTTTGGGGGGGGCTATACTACTTCGAAGATGTGGGACTCCCCTTGACTAGTTAACAAGGTAATCCCTTTCTCTCTACAGGAATATTATCCACTGGCCTGGCTGCTGCCTATTACAGTGGAGGTAAAGTATGCTATCCCCTTCAACTTTCTTGTACTTGAAAATGAACAAAAAGCAGTCACCTGTGACACTCGAGGTGTGTGTGGCCTTTGGGGTGGCCTCTGCCTTGCTTTGTGTGAGGGACAACCAAACTTCTTCCTGTTATAAAGTACCTTTTTTTTTTTTTTGAGACAGGGTTTTTCTATGGCTTTGGAGCCTGTCCTGGGACTCGATCTGTAGACCAGGCTGGCCTCAAACTCACAGAGATCCCTCTGCCTCTGCCTCCCAAGTGCTGGGATTAAAGGTGTGCGCCATCAATGCCCAGCTTATAAAGTACTCTTGGAAAGAAGCTCTTTAGCATTTATTTGCCTGACACTTTGCTACATGGAGAAATCATGTGTTCTATATACAAGGTATATAGATTTACCTATCTCCTAGGTGGACTTAGGCAGAGTTTGGGATGCACATGTCACCAACAACCCAGGCAGGTACAGGAACACAGTTGACTAAGCCTGTATCCTGAGCTGAAGGAAGGAAAGTCTGGGCTGGAGAGACCCTCCTGTGGACATATCCCTTTGGCTCCTTTAGCTAATGGGCTGATATATTATGTCTGCTTGCAGATAGTCTGGGCTGGAAGCTCTTCTATGTCACAGGCTGCCTGTTTGTGGCTGTTCAGAACTTGGAGGACTGGGAGGTAAGATGGTGTAGTAGCACCCTTCTTATTTGGAAGTACCTGTCCTGGTCCAGAGGCACTGGGTTACCTGGACTCAGCTTCTGACTTAGCTTGTAACATCCCTGGACTCTAGAAGCGGCTCATAACGGTTTTTGACAAAGTTCTGTGTTCTTCTGCAGGCCTGCCTCAAACTCAAAAGTAAGCCTACTGCCTCAGCCTTCTGATAGGCATGAAGCATCACACTCAACTCCCAGAAGTTTTTTTCCTGGGCTTGTTGCAACAAGTCTGCATTGCCCCTTGCCTGCACTAGCTGTACAGGGCAGAGACTTGCGAGACCATTCTGCTATCTCAGTTGGACCAGCTCCCAAGCCCTGAAGTTCAAGTGTTGGGGGCTTCCCCTGACAGCCAGGACTTCACTGACGTCCTGAAATAGTTGAAATGAATCAGCAGAAACTGATCAGGTGTTAACCTTTGGGAGAGTCCACTACCCTTAGCCTTGGCCCTCTTAGAAGTATTGAAGCTGCCTGGCCTGGGCCTCTGGTTTGTTTGTTTTTTTTTTTTTTTTTTGTAATATTTTTAAGATTTATCTATTATTATGTATACAGTGTTCTGCCTCCATGACAGAAGAGGGGGCCAGATCTCATTAGATGGTTGTGAGCCACCACGTGGTTGCTGAGGATTGAACTCAGGACCTCTGGGAGAGCACTCAGTGCTTTTAATCCTTAAGCCATCTCTGTAGCTCCCTGCTTTCTGCTTAATGGCCTCATTGCCAGCCTGTCCTTCTGTTCTTTTATTTACCCAGTGCTGAGGGATGAACTTAGGGCCTCATACCTGCTGGACAAGTGCTCTACCACTGGGCTAGAGACCCAGCCTGGTCTCATTCTCATGCAAAGGGAAAAGGGCACCTACTCTGTCTGCTTTCTCTCATGTGACCCTTACCCACAGGAGTAGAAGAGGTCAGGCACAGAAGTTGGCTCTGGAAGAGAGCCCTGGAGGTTATGGGGGTTGAGTTTCCACTGAGCATCTTGAGTATTTGTGCCAGTGTGTGTGGGGATGATCCCTCAGCACTAGCTTGGCCCTCTTCCTGGAGTTGTGTGTGGTTAGCATACATTGGTTTGCAGGAAGCCATTTTCAACAAGAGCACTGGGAAGGTCATCTTAAAAACATTCAGCCTCTACAAGAAACTACTGACTCTTCTCAGAGCAGGCCATGACCAAGGTAAGATGTGGGGAGTTGCAGTTTGGTGAAGGCTTGGGGAGGTTTGGATGGTTCCCTTGTTCAGGGAATGAAGGTCCCCCAGACATATCCCGGCTTGCAGGGTGGGATCCAGGCAGATACCCCATCCTGCATACTTAAGGACTCAACCCATCAGGGAGGATGGAAACGCCTCAGCAGTTGGTTAAGAGTAGTAAGAGTGGGTCACTGCGCTAAGCGGACTAGTAGAGAGTCATCCTGTTCTTCAGGAATCACTTGGCCTCTCTTAGGCCCAAATCCTGTACCTCTTTCCTGTCAGCTGTGCTAGCCTGCAGTGAGAAGATGGTCAGAGGAAGCCCCCAACCCTTAAACTTCTGGGCTTGTGAGCTAGCCTGTGAAGTAACAGAAGGTTCTCATAGGTCTCTTCCCTATGTATTCAGCCCAGCCCAGCCATTGTGCATTACAAACATGCAAGTAACTTTATGTTACAGCCGGTGAAAACCAGAGCAGGTTTGTGGGGTGTGAGTTAGTGCACTGGCTGAACTTCCCCGGGGGGCCTTGGCACATCTAAGAGCCAGACCCCCACAGTAACAAGCCACAGGGTCAGTACCATGTCACTGTGGCAGTGGGATGAGATAGGCTTCTCAGTGCCTCTTGGGAAAGCATTATCAGCCATGCATTACTTAGGCAATGGTTTTCTTGTATAAGGAAGTGGCAGGGGTACCCCACAGGAACCAGATAGGTTTTCCAGCCTTAGGTAAAATCAGTCAAAAAGAGGAGCATGAAGATAGCAGCTTGGGCTTAGTGATTCCTGCTGTAGGATTGCTTAGGACAGCCAGCTTCTGCCTAAAACTGCAGGAGTGATGGGTCTCCTGAGTGTATCCTTATCCAGAAGTCATTCTGGATCCACAGTCTAGAATGTGGAATAGCAAATGGTTTTGTCACTAATGCCACTCGTACTGTTGAGCAGAGCTAGACATCCTGAAACAGGATGTTCTACAGCACAGAGTGAGCATAAGGGATGACTGTCCCTCTGCAAACCCTTCTGTCCCCAGTGGTGGTCCTGCTGAAAGACATCCAGGATGTGAATGTGGAGGAGGAGAAGGTCCGTTACTTTGGGAAGGGCTACACTGTGGTGCTCCGGTTTGCAACAGGTTTTTCCCATCCCCTTACTCAGAGTGCAGTCATGGGCCGACGGAGGTAAGAGTGGTATAGAGCAAGACTGGGCTGTCCCTTAGTGTTCCTCAGTGCAGCAGGGGAGGAGTTGAGTGTTTGTAGACAGGAACATGGGGCTGGGGGAAGGATGTATGTACTTAGGAGCAGCTTTGCTGTGGATATCTGTAGGGGAGACACCACCACAAGGTTGATGTCTGTTAAGAGTAGGACTGAGGCCAGAGGTACTGGGCCTATTTGGGACCCCAGGGGTTGCTGTAGGTGTACAGTAGGGGATGAGACTGTGGGTCTTTTGTGGTGTGTTATGGAACTGTACCCTTTGCCATGGTGACCTGCTTTCTTGCCTAGTGATGTGGAAGCCATTGCCAAACTCATCACTAGCTTCTTGGAGCTGCACCGCCTGGAGAGCCCCTCAGAACGGTCACAAAGCAGTGACAGTGAAGCTGATGGCCCTGGTGATCAGAGCTGACAGTGTGGAATGGCTGCTGGTAAATGTCACCCACTGCTGACATGTCTCCAACTGACTTGCCAATTATGAGCATGCAGGCAGATCTTGGGCACCTGCCTATGGCTCCTTGGGCAATTCTTGTGTGGACCACCTGCCCTTTGCTTGTTTATGCTTCTATGCTTTGCAGAACCTTGGGCTGGATGTTCTCCATAGCCCAGAAAGACTGCATCCATCATGATGCAGGAGGTGGGTGCTACATCCAGAGGAGGGCAGGATCTCAGAACTCAGTGCCTTCTCCAGAGTTAGTCGGCAGTTCTGGCTCAAGCAGCACAATCTGGTTTGGATAAGCTCACCCAAGGGCATCTGAGGTACAGTCTTCATTCAGCATAGGCCTCGGACCTGCCTTCAAAAGGCCTTGCCACCCCAGGCTATTGTAGTGAGAGTGAGACACCCACATGCCTGTAAGGAGGACCCTCTCTCTGTGCACAGCAGTGCTGACTTGCTGCCATAAATCCTGATGTCTCTTCTCTCTAAGCATCCCTCTTTGAAAAATGGACATTCTTGTGTTCAGGGGCTCTCCTGAAGGAAGCTCTGAATGCTGGGTACCTGGGTGCTGCCTGGGTGCAGAACTCCGAGAGGAGTGCTGCTGACTGCCCTGTTCCTTCGCACACCACTTGTCTGAGGTCCCAGCAGGGTTATAGCAGCTGTTAGGAACAGAAGGCTCTCCCAACCCAACCTGGGGAGAAGCTGCTCGTGGAGGAGAAGCCACCTCTGGCATCCTGCAGCCTTTAAGACCTGGGAGCTCCTTTACAGAAATCGGTCTTAGCCTCTCAAGCCTTGAAAAGAAGATGGACATGTGAGACACACCCCTGTAAATCCCAATCTTAAGAAGTGGGGCCTGAAGAAAATTCAAGGCTAGTGCCGGCCACTGCCTCTTCTAACAGAAGTTGGTACCAGCCACTGATGGCTCTTTTCTGCTCTTCTAGTTTTCTTTTGAGTGGACTCAAGTCCCTCAAAAGTACAGTGTTCACAAAGTTCCCAACTTGGCTTCCAGGCCTGAAAGCTGTGGACCTCTGGTTTGCACATAGCCCCCTCCCCCAAGCTGTGAACCTATGCCTGGCCAGGTAGAACTGGGAAATGAGGAGTAGTTATATAGACAAAGAAGTCAAGGCAGCCTTGAGGCCACTGTACCTGGGCTGAGCAGGAGTAGTGAGGCCAGGACCTTTAACAGGTCTTTGAAGTGACTGCTACCAGTTCTGACTTGGGGAACACGGTCCCTTGAACATGCCAAAGTGAGCTTTTTAAATGGCCAAGTTAGACAAAACTTTTTCCATAAATGAAAAGTGGAATACAGATGTTGGTTTTTTGGCTTGTTACCTGACTCTTAAGGTACTTTAGACAAGGGAGAAGAGTCTCTCTCTTGGGTGCTTTCAAATACCCTTCCTGTATTTCCCAGTGCTGGGACTCATTCCTGGGTGAAGGAATGAAGCCCTTTTTATAAGCCAGGGGTGTGGTAAAACGCTCATTCAAGTTTCTGTTAGGATTTTTGCTTCTACTGGTCTTTTTAATTCATAATTAATAAAGCTGTACATGCAGATTGCAAATGAGTCTCCATGTGCCTTTTTCTGTTTTCTGCTTTGCCCAAGGTAACCCTTTATGTACTCTGGGAGCAGTCTGTCCAGAGCCCCCATATGGCTGGGCACTGAGGCGGGAATCTTGGTGCTATCTGGGCTGATATCCAGGGCTCCAACCCTCAGGGGTTCTGGCCTGTGTCCCAGCCTGGGCTGGTGGGTGGTGGCAGTTGGACAGCTGCCTCACCCAGGTCCTGCAGTAGACCCTGCAGTCGCTGCATACTCGGGAGCACATTCTCCTCCAGCCACTCCTCTATGGTGTCCGGGTAGAAGGCCAGCTGCAAGGCCGCCTCCAACTGCTGTACAAGGTTGCTCCACTTGCTCAGAAGGCTAAGGGCAACAACAGCCATGAGTTTGACTTGATGAGAATTTCTGCTAAGGCTCAAGTTTACATAGCTACACTCATGTCCTCAGCCCCTAGAGCCAGTACTGTTAAATGCCTGGGTTTACCCCTGGGATGAAAACAAATGAACGACTGGTCACATTTTAAAAATCAAGATCAAAGCCTGCAGTTTTTCTCACAGCCATGAACAGGTTATGCTGTTGGCAGCAAGTTGCACTGAGTGCAAGTGTAATCTTATTAGCCTAGCTTAGAGTCCTGAACCAGGAGAGGAGTGCAGACTGCCTGGGGCTCCATCCACAAGGGTGCTGGGTGCTCAGCTAGGTTGCATCAGGGAGTTACAGGGCCAGCATGGACCCTAAGTGGCCTGATTCCAAAGATGAGCCTTGGGTCAGCCTGGGCATGTGGCTGATTATCTGTCTCAGGCCAGGAATCACTTAGCTTCTTGCTACTATTAGGCTCAGTGTTATTAAGCAGTGATCTATCAATTCATCCAAGATCGACACCTGCAGTACCTGGAGAACTTGTCTTGCCATACATAACACTGATAACCATAGCCATTGCTGCAGTGTGTGTCCATAAAGGGGACAGGGTAGGGTGTTTGTTCCAAAGGATGAACACTATGGAGGATGTGATGATGGTGGCTACCTGAGTGCCTCTGGCTGTATGTGCTGGATCATAACTGGATGAATAAGCTTCCTCCTGCGATGGTAGGGGCTGAACCAGCCAGTGACAAACCTGAAGCAAATCCAGACAGTGTTGGTGGGCCAACAGTGGCTAGGAGTTAGCTGTGGGGAAAACTTAAGAATCTGGTAGAAATTTTTAGAAGTCTTCCTAGAAAACCTTTGTAAAGAACAATGCCAGGAGAGAGAAGGGGTTGCTTACCTGTTCCTTTCCAGAAGCGTATCCACAGAGTTGCGCAGGTGGAGACTAATTTGTGTGACGAGGGCATGGATGTCACTGCCAGGGAAGGAGCCAGCTCCTTCACTGCCGGAGAGTCACATTGAGAATGGTGGTCCCCAGAGGAAGAAGGGGTGGGGAGCATCAGGTAGGATGAGTTACCTCACAGCATCCATTGTTTCCAGGCTTGAAACCCCAAGGAAGTGTTCCACTCTCAGCTTAACGTCTTCACCAAAGCCGCCTGAAACCACCCATAGGCAGAGGTGGTCAGAGGCGCCTCCTGAGCTGTGGGTGCTATGGGCAAAAGGCACAACATCTGAGGGGGAGCCCCAGCCAGGCTAGCTGGCTGCTTTTCATTGAGCTTGTGAAAGTTATCTGTTAGCGATCAGGGAGTGGAAATAGGAATGGTGTTGTAGATAGTAGCACCGTGTGCGTGAGCCCCTGGCCTCACTATCTGGTCCATGTGCAAGCGTACAGGTTCAGTCACCAGCAGAGTACTCTAGTGCACCCGAAACAAACTGCTGGGCAGGCACACCTCCAAGTCAGACAAAAGACTGTCACAGGAAGCCACTGACAGATGGTTCTTAGCTCTGTGTTGGGAGGCCTTAGGTCCCAGTATAATCACTCCTTAAAAACAAGAAGAGCTAAAGCCAACACCACGAACACCAATGCCTCTTCAGTATTGGTGAGGGCTTATTTCCTTGTCTTTCTGCACATTCTAGACAGTTACTCCACAGCTGTTAAATGTTTTTTGTGTGTGTTGGGGGGCTGCTTCCCATGTTGGTGTCCTTTGAGCTTTGTAAATTCCTACATAGTCTTGTAGTTTAAATGGGCTCCACTCCCTATACTTGCTCTGAGCAGTGCCCATGTCTGTCTTTTGCAGCCAGTTGTTCCCTTAGGTCATCTGGGTTAGGAGCACTGGGATCAGGAGCTCCTGCAGCAGTGGGAGCACCCAGTTCTGCAGAAGTCTGCTTCACAGCTCTTAGGACACTTAGGCAGCCAAGAGAACCTTCTGCATCTGCGGCATGAATTTCTTATGTAGGTTCTCTTAATCTTTGGGGCATGCCCGTTCTAACTTCCCAATCTACCTGAGGCTCAGGCTAAGTATCTGGGTCTAGACAGTTCCAGATCAGTGGCAGACAAGCAATTGGACAGACTAGTAACATGAGTCTTCTTCCCCTGTACAGGACTACAGTCCAGACAGAGCAGGGCAACAGCACTTGGCCTTCTTTCTTCCTGTCTAGCTAAGGATGGGTAGGAGGCCTAAAACCACTGGCTGAAACATACCGTGTACAAGTGACTGTAGACAGGCAGCCAGGGATGGGATTCCCACAGGGAGCAGCTCACACAGCACAGAGAAGTGGTCATACCTATGTCCAGAAGAAGAGTATTCAGTTCCACAGTCCTTATCTCATCATGATGATGCCCTCATTTGGGGGGCCCTTTCTCCTCTTTTGAGGGGTTCCTAGGCTAAGGTGCACTATGGGCAGCCTGATGTATCCATTACCTGGCTCAGGGTTCGTACAATGGGTTTTTACATTAGGTTTATTATGATGCCCCAAGGAGGAGCCTGTGTCCACTCTAGTGTACACTGGAGATGGAGAGTGCAGAGCCTTTATTATCCCTTTTCTAGTACCGGTCTGCCTCCTGGAGTCCTTTTCTGTGGCCTGCATCCTATCTATCCACTTCATGCTTAGAGTGGGCATCTGATCCCTCTAGTGATAGGCAGAGTGCCTCCTCCTGGCCTGGTCTCAGTATCTTCAGCAATAAGAAGCTAGAGAGCTGTCCCTCAAGTGTGGTAGATAAAGGCCGATGAAGAGGCAGGGGCCAGTGATTACATCACCCCCATCAGTTTTCCTTTTCCTGTGAGTCACTAGCCACTGTGCATGGCATAGAAAGGGCTTCACTCTATGAGTCTTGGTTTAACACACTTCAACACACTACTAGAATGGCAAAAGCTTGGTAAGTCTTCATGAACCATCTAGAAACATCTAGTAGACATGTACTGAAGCCATGAGCAACTCATATAACCACATTAGACCTCCCTTGGCTGAGAAACCCTGCTCTGTAGTCATATTTTGGAACCCATGAAGGCCCCAGAGGGACACCTTTCCAGCTCTTCCTAGTGGAGCTGCCAGCTTCAACTGGTCCAGCTCAAAGGTTGGAACCTGATACAAGGTCACAGCCAGAACCAAAGACTGGACTCATTCTATTTTTCAAAGGGTATGACATCATAAAAGAACCAGGACTAATCTTCATGCCCTGCTATACATGAGACATACGGTATCACTCATGGACTGCAGACTACAGAAACAAACGGCTGCATGCTTGTGGTTCTGAGCATTCCAGTGTCTCTTCAGTAGAGTTAATGAGGTAGCCATGGAGGCATGAAGAGCATAATTTGGGAAGGGGCAAGGCCAATACTAGACAGGCTGCCATCATGTATGATGGGAATTGCCCCCTACTCCCCACACCCAGCCTCGGAGAACTCACCTCTGCCAGCCAGTCAAGATGATTCCTTGCAGAGTATCCACTGGCCCACCGCCTGCCACCTGTAGCCACTGCTCATGGTTTCTAATGTGGTGCTCAACAGGGGGTAGGGCCTGACTAGCCCCTGTGGCACCCTTGAAGGCACTGGCAGCCCACAGCCTCTGGAAGCCACACTCCTGGTACTTTCCCATGAGGAAGACTAAGCAAGAGAACAAGCAGATGAGCAGCTCTCACAGAGGCCCTGGGTACATACACAGCCTAACCAGAGCAGTCAAGAGCCACAACTATCCTAGCGGAGAGAGAACCCAGCCATTCCCATAAGGCCTGTGGTTTATCAATCATGGGGAATAAACACTCCGGGAAGAGCTGGAAGGAACCTTGGGTGATCTGGAGCCAGCAGGGGATCCCATGCCAGGACAGGAGGCTTTGCAAGGCCATTCTGTTCCATGCTGGTCAGCCAAGTTAATGAGGTGCCTGTATTCCCAGGCTGAAGAGTTCAGGTTACAGGGTCATGGAGGACTGGGAAACAATCATGAAGGCACATGCACCATGAGGAATGTAGCGTGAGCAACCTGTACTGACTTTTGCTGTGGACATCCAGGTCAGCTCCATAGTCCCAGAGCACAGGCTCCACCAGTTGAGGCACCCTAGATGCTGTCAACAGAGCAAGGCCATGAGTATGAAAAGGTCACACCCCTGCTCCTTAGACATACTTGTTTTATATAGGGGTCTCACTTTGCTGTTCACGTTAACCTTGAATTCCAATCCTCCTGCCTCAGCCTCCTAAGTACTGAGATTATAGTCATGTGACACTCTGCTCACATCTGGCACATTCTTTTAATGTTAAAGTGGGAACATAAATCATTTTCTGAGGTCTAGTGGGTTTTAAGTACAGCTTGCAGCTGTGCTAGGCTTTTGGCCATAAACAAATGTTTGTAGCTGCGTGCTTTTGTAAGGAGGGACTCCTAAGCTCTTCTCTAAGCTGAAGAACAATTGGAACACATCTCTAATAGGAGATGATTCTAATTCATAACACACACTAGCCTCACAGAGTGCAGGTATAACTGGCCCTGGATCTTTGCACTAACCCTCAGGGTTCAATGAAGCTAGGTGATGTGTTTAAAAGCTATCTCCTAGGCTGGGGAAGGTTTTCTTCAGCTTTCATCTCAAAGCTTTGGAGCACTGTGAACTTTTGGCCCTGGCATCTACAGATTGGCCACAGAGTGCACACTGGGCTAAAGTTATCAGAAGCACTGGACATTTCCATAGCCCCTCTAGGCCTGACAGTAGTTACACCATTTACACCATTTTCTGGTACACAATCCTTCAAGGCTGTACAGTGACATGAACAGAAGTATTAAACCAGCATTTTCAATGGAGCACACATTAAGAGCTCACTCCCAAGGCCTCTGGAACTTGAGGTCCAGGGCAGCCACATATAAGCCCCCGTCAATACAGCCTCTGCCAACCTTTTAGCTGTTCCTGGGGGATGTCCCGAAGCATGTCATCCCACACCAAAGGTGTTGTGCCAGGGTGCTGTGCCAGCACATGGCTGGCTACCGCCTGAATGTGGGACAGACACAACTTTGCCTGGCTGTTCTGTTCCTGCTGTAGCCACTGTTTTGAGGTCTCTCCCTCGCCCAAGTAGTAGACCTAGGAGGAAGAAACAGGAAAGGATTGCATCTATTGCCATCCTTACATCCACAGGGTTCACACTTGTCCTGAATCTTGGGGTTAGTGCAAGTACAAAGGAGACTAAGAAAGGAGCTCAGCTTCCCCAGTCTCCACAGGAAGATTGCCTTTCTTAGGCTGGATTCACCTTTGGGTTCAAAGTAGCTCTGCACAGATCACTGAGAGACAGGACAACCTGATTAACTCACTGAAGAGTGAATGTGGATGTGTCCCATTGTGCCATGGTTATTCCTGACATATGTGATAATGCTGATGGGCCTTGTCCTACACTCAAAATGGGAGTGAAAAAGCCAGAAACAGAAGGCAACATGTGTAATTTCATCTGTGAAATGTACATACACATGTACACACATGTGCATACACTTTTTTCTGAGATAGGGCTTTACACACAGATTATAGATTGTATTATTATTCCTTTTTTTGTGTTTTGCCTGCATGAATGTCTGTGTGAGGGTGTCAGATCTTCTGGAACTGAGTCACCGGGAATTGAAACCAGGTCTTCTAGAAGAGTAGCCAATAATTGTAACCACCGAACCGTCATTCTAGCCACACCCACCCACTTCTTTTTGGAGTCAGGATTTCATGTAGCCTAGTTGGCTTGCAATTCCTTACTGTAAAAGTTGCTATGTTACAAGTGTGTATCATCACACTTACTTTCAGATTTCCTTATTTTGAGATACCACAGCCCAAGCTGACCTAGAACTCACTATGTAGCCCAGGCTAGTCTCAAATCTGTGGCAAGTCTTTAGCCCTAGCCTCCAAGTGCTAGGATTACAGGTGTCAGCCACCATGTCCAGCTCTGATTTTAAAAGTGGCAATCTGAGGGTTGAATGCCTACAAACCGAGGCCGTGACCTTTGTCTCAGACCCTGTCTAGTCCTGCCCATACATCTGGATTCAAGCCAGAGAAGCAGAGGGATAGAGGCCAGTCACTGGGGAGGCTAGGTAGGAAGACATACCACCGATACCCCAGGGGAATACTTTTCCCAAATAGTGCTTCAGGATCCAAACATAACACTTTCTTCTTCTCCACACCTCAAACTGCATTTCTTTGGCTAGAATAGTCTGAATTTGCTCATGGGTGGGACTGGCTTTGTCCCTGCAGAAAGAGGAGGTAAAGAAACCTGTCCTTCTGGATGGTAGTGACATCTGGTGTACAGGGTACCTTACTTGGGCTCTGAAGGATTGCTGAATGCCAGATGACCCTCCTTCTCTCTAGAGATGTCATCTAGAATGGTTCCCTAAATAGGCCTATGTCCTTGGCATCCCTGCCTTTATTCTTTAGTATCTGGACTATTTCTCTGTTTAAAAGAATCCATAGGGCCTAGCATGGTGGCACATGCCTGTAATTCTAGTGTTTAATAGGTTGAGACAGAAGGATCAAAAGTTCAAACCAGCTTGGGTGATGTAATGAATCTGTATTATCAATTTTCTTATAAACCAACCAAATCAAAAGAAAACAAAGAGGGGCTGGAGAGATTGCTCAGAGCACTGGAAGCTCTTCCAAAGGATCCAGCTTTCATTCCCAGCACCCACATGGTGGCTCACAACCATCTGTAGCTCCAAGTGATTCAGATGCCCTCCTCTGGTCCCTGTGCACCAGGCACACACAGACATGACACAGAGACATACATGCAGGGGGAAAAAATCTATACATATAAATAAATAAGCAAATAAATAAATTCAAAAGAAAGAAAGAAGCCATGACACGGGACAGGCTGGCTTTGAAGAACAGAGGCTGCAGACCTTGAGATGAAAGGCACTTACCTCATCACAGCCAATGTGGAGCCACGGGACACCCTTGTGTAGCTCCATAATCTGGTCAATCATGTCTTTTACCAATGTCAGAGACTCAGCCTCATGAGGGTTCAGGGTGTTGGGGAAGAGAGCCACTTCACGGAGATGTGCAAAAGCTGCGTGCTTTAGCACAAACTATGGAGACAAGGACAGAGAGGAAGCTGATGCTTATGGACCCCAGTCCCCTGCATGTCCTCAGCAAGAGTTCCACGCTCATGTTGCTTAACTTCACAGTGTGCCTGAGAGCCAGCTGGGTGGCCTGCAAAGATTACTCTTGTCTCTTCCAGATGTCTGCAGCTAACACAAGCTTCAGAGCCCACAGGGCAGTGGCTTCTCACTCTGCCTGAGCTGGGCTCTAAACCCTCTAACTGGTTCCTCAGCAGCCCTCTTCCCCTCTAGAAGCCCTTACCTTTTTCTGTCCCCTCCCTCCCTCTCTGTGGCATTTGGACTTTAACTTAAAGTCTTGCACGTTATTTTCTATTTTCTTCTTTTTACTTATATGGATGTTTTGCTTGTTAGGGTTAGGAGTCTATGTACCATGTCTAGTGCCCATGAGGCCAGAAAGAGGGATTGGAGCTCTTGGAACTGGAGTTACAGGCAGTTTCAAGCTGCCTTGTGGATGCTGGGAATCAAACTTGGGTTCTTTGGAAGACCAGCTAGTGCTCTTAACAACTCCAACCCCTCTAGTCATTTTTTTTTTTTAAATTTTATTTTAGAGGAGTGAACGCAGCTGCATCCTACAAGCCATTAAATCAACACCATGTCTGCTTCTCATTTGTCTTACATATGATAAATAATTCTGAATACTGGTAAAAAGACACAAACAGAAAATGGAAGGCTTCCTTCCTTTCTGGCAAAGCTGCCCTGATCGAGAGTTGTGCTCTCTGGCTGAGATCGGGCTCAGACCACACTGAGTTGCTGTTGCCTGTGCCCCGTCAGACACTGTTGCCTCACACTGGAGCCCAAGCCCAGTCTCTGAACCCTACACATACACCAGTAATTTCCATTCCTCCCACTCACCTCCATGTGCCCGAATGTCTGCACCAAGGGAACAACTTCCAGCTCATTGAGTCTGGCCAGGCGCAGGATCTCAGTAACCTCAGAGGGGCTGGTGTGATACAAAAGAATACACAGAGGTTTGTATCAGTCTAGTCCAGTACTTTTCCCCTCTTTGCATCTTACATGAACTGGCCACAGTCACCCTGCAGAACAGGGTTGGCAGACCAGCCCAAGAGCAAAATTTATCTATGGCTCAGCTGCTTTTATACAGCCCCGAACCTAAGAAAGGGTCCCTTCAGCTTTCCTCGCGCCCTTCTTCACGGTTTGGAAAGCAGCAGAGCACAGAGAGTAGGCAAACCCACAGCAGGTACAGAAGCACTGGAGAACTGGGGTTCCCAAAGCCATAGCGCTCTCTAACATGGTGGCCACTGCACATTCCAGCATCGGGAGACTTGCTTTTCCTCTTCCCACCATCACAGAACGCTGCCTTTAGTTTGTTTGGGATTTTCTGAAACAGGATGGCAACCCATTCTCCTACCTGAGCCAGCCAAGACTAGTATTATAGGCAACTATCACCACGTCTAACTAGAGAATCAGCAATGACCATCCACATCTATACTGCCCTGACCCTCTGCTTGGGATCAAACCCAATATCTTATGTATGCTAGACAAGCACTCATCCCCAGCTTCACCAATTCAGTAGCTAAAATGACACTGCAAAGTTGTTTTAATCTTGATTTCTATGAGAGGCTTAGTATTTTCCCATTTCCTTGTGCATAAAAATCAAACTGTGAGAAGCTGGGGAGAGATCATTCAGTGGTTGAAATGCCTGTTGCATTAGCAAGAGAACTAGAGTTTAGATTCCCAGACCCCAAGTAAATGTACAGTGGCCCATCTATAATTCTAGTGCTCACAAGGCACAGAAGGTAATCTCAGAGAAAGATGGCTTGCCGGACTAGCTAAAATGGTGTGTTCTGGATTCAGTCAAAGATGCTGCTTTAATAAATACAGTGGAGACTGATGAGGCTTGGGATGTCAACTTCATGCTTCCTTGTGTACTTGTACACATTCACCCATACACATGTGAATGTGCATACGTACACGTACATGTGTATACACACACACACACACACACACACACACACACACACTAGACATACAAATATATGAGAAAAAGTATCCAATTGTGGCCCTAAATGCAGCCCAATCCCAACTGCCCTATGACTTCTTACTCTTTCCTGTAAGGTCAGAATAGATAGATGTTTGTTTTCTGTTTTAAATGTTTCCTGATTACCTTTAATGCACATGTTTTACTTTTAAAAAAAATCTTCTGCATGTGTGTGTGCTAAGTGTATGTATGTGCACCATGTGCATGGGAGAACCTGAGTAGGCTGATAGGGAGAATTAGATCCCCTGGAGTTACAAATGGTTGTAAGTCACTATATGAGTACTGACCACCAAACCCAGATCTTCTGTAAAAGCAGTAAGTTCTCCTAAACAAAAGACATCTCTCCAGCCTCTACATGTTTCACTTAAACAAAACAAAACAAAAAACAAACTGTTTTGTATGAGTGTTTTGCCTGTATTTACCTGTATACCACCTTTTTTGTTTGGTTGGTTTTTGTTTCTCTGTATAAAAGCCCTGACTGTCCTGGAAATCATTCTGTAGACCAGGCTAGCCTGGAGCTCACAGGGATCCACCTGTCTCTGCCTCCAAGTGCTGGGATTAAAGGCATGTGCTGCCACACCCAGCTTATATACCACTTTTTAAATGTGTAACAAGGTCAGAAGAGGGTACTAGAACTGGAGTTATAGGGGGTAGGGGGTTATGAACTACCATGTGGGAGCTGGGGATTGAACCTATGTCATCTGGAAGAGCATTTGTTGGGGACCATCACCATCCTCACTACCTCAGGTCTCTGAGATAGAAAGTTACTGCCTCTTAAGAAATAAGCAGAATGTTCAGCAGAACATTCCAAGGTACAGGCTTGTGGTTTCACAGCCAGTTAAAGAATAGCTTAGGGCTATCTCTCCTGCTGCAATTTACAGCCAATTATAGGTTAGCTAAACATTTTAGGTCATTCCTTCTACTGACCTTCTCACTCTGCCTACATGCCAGTGCCCATGCCCTGGCTATGTGCAAATCCTGCTCACATCCTGCCCATGGTCCTATATAAGCCTCCCCTGAGAACATAAAATTTGTCAGCTTGATCAGAATACTGTCTTTCCGACCATTCTTTGTATCTCTGATCCTCCTTTCCCTTCTAGGTACTTCCCAGTCTGTCGCTGACTGCCCCGCGGGTCAGGACAAGCATTCAGTGCTCTTAACAGATGAGCCATCTCTCCAGCTCTGATGTTTTATGTTTATTAAGTGTTTTAGGTGTTTGTTTGTACAGAGCTCCTTTATGTAGCCATGGCTGTCCTGGAACTCACTCTGTAGACCAAGCTGGCCTCAAACTCAGGGATCTACCTACCTCTGCCTTCCAAGTGCTGGGATTTAAATTTATACCACCACTGGCCTGCAATCTTTGTTTTTGAGACAGGAATTCACTCTGCAGCTCAAGCTTTTAACTTTCAACCATCATTCTGTTTCAGCCTCCCAAATTTTGGGATTACAAGTGTGAACCACAACACCAGGCTACATGTTTAAATTTTGCAGCAACTTATATAAGACATACACTCAGAAAGACAGAAAAAGGAATGTAAAATGTTAGATTCCAATGATCGCACCCCATAGTTCTGCAAAGGCCTTCCTTCTTGGAGGTCCTCTGCTAGCTTTGATACCTACCTGTATGCATGCTTGGCTCTCAGCAGCCTAAGGTGACCCTCATAGGGAAACATGTCTTCATACTCAATGAGGAGGCCATTTGCACCGAGTGCATGGAACAGGGGAAAAACCTGGAGGGAAAACAGGATGTTGAAAAAAGTGGCAATCTGAACAACAAAGGACTTAGATGAAGTGTGGACCCTTTTCCTTTCTAGGTTTTGGAGAGAGATGGGAGCTGATACTTGTATTTCTCTTCTACAGACTTTAAATCTGGAATGTGTATTTGATGTTTGCAGAACAAATTCTTGGTTAACAACACACCTATTTTGCACAGGAGTGTAATGTGCCATTAAGTAGCTATTACCAAAGAACAATGAATTCTGGTGGTTCAGCTGAGGGAGGACTTATACCGGCTGGGAGAGTCATCCTGGAGCCAGGCACAAGAATGTACAATAACCTGTGTGCCATAAGAGCAGGGGGCACCAGCGGCAGCTCTGGAGATGAGTTCAGCCTCTTGGAAGGAAAAGCAAGTGAGGAGAGGTGAGGGGTGTGTGTGTGTGTGTGTGCGCGCAGAGGCAGGATTCAAAGTCTCAAAGTTTGTCCTTTCCTTGTCTCACCATTTCCTTCCCTATCTTTATGTTAAGGGTAGGAATTTCCCTATCTTTGGGAGTTTTAGAATCTGTTCATGCCTACTATACAGAGTAATTGGAATTTTTTTTTTTTGGTCTGAGATCACACACACACACAATGTAGGCACTAACGAGGAAGCCTCTATCTGTACTTAAAACAGCCATCAATCTCCAAATAAGGATCTAAATGTTTTCTGTGTGCTGGTATTTGGCCTACATGTAAATCTGTATAAGGAGTCAGATCCACTGGAACTTGAGTTACAGACAAGGGTGAGCTGGGAGCTGAACCTGGGTCATTTGGAAAAAACACCAGTGCTCTTAACCACAGAGCCATCTCTCCGGTCCCTTAATCCACCTTTCTTATTCAGGCTCACAGAAATCCAGTATGAACTCATCTTTTTGAGATTAAAAAATAGTTTGTTTAATGTATCACTGTCATAACAAATTATTATACACTTCATGGCTTAAAACATAAATTTATTCTTTTACAGTTCTGGAATCTCAGAAGCATAACAGTTGCTCAGGCTAAAGTCAAGGAGCCAACGGGGCTCTTTTTTTTTTAACCAAAGGTTATAGGAGAAATTTTCATTTCCTTGAATTTCAGTTTCTAGTGACTACCTAGACATCTTAGCCTGTAGCCCCTTCCTCCATCTCCAAGGTTCATCACTCCACACTGCTCTTGTCTTCTCTGCCTGACCTTTCACTGTCTTGTCTTTTTTGAACCTTATTTATGGTCCCATCATCTCAGGTTCTCCAGACAGCTGAGGCGAATCTCCCTGCCCCAGGATTCTTAATCACAGTCTGAGACGCAAGGAAGAAAGTCAAAGTATCCTTACTAGTATGACCTCTTCTTAATTGGTCAGCTCTCCACGGACTATTTTCAGGTAAGGTCATATGTATAGGCACTAAGTGTTAAGACCTGAACTTACTGTCTTTTTGGTGGGTACAATTCAGCCACAACGAAGACGTCATGGTTTCTTCTGTTCTTTGTGCTATCCTGATTGTTCTGTCTGATTTTGAGAGGAATTGGGAGAAAATGGAAGCTCTATGCTCTCTGTCATCGTCATCACTCTGCCTGATCCAGGGTCCTCGAGGTTATGTTACCAGTGCCCATTTCCACAGAGTAAAAGGTGCTTACCTCAGAGAGATATGAAACCTTTGGTGGCGCTCCCTTAAGGTCTAAATGAACTAATCTCATCTTAAATGGTGTGGAACATGACATGCTGGTATTTGTGTGTGTGTGTGTGTGTGTGTGTGTGAACTCCTATAACAGGATCTTCGTCTGGGTCTTCTTCCTGGTGGAGAGAACCCAAGTTATAAACAAGAGCAGAGGCAACCCTTCCCTTCCTTTTTCTGTTCTGATACCAGCTAATTTTGCTCTATAAACCAGTTTCACTAATAAACCAAAAAGTTTCACACTCACATACAGTATTTGTGAACTGCCCCTGAAATAGAAAACCATTAACTTCCTTGTGAGATAATTATGGTTTACAGCAACAAAAAAAAAAAAAAAAAAAAAAAAAAAAAAAAAATCACACACCAGTAACACCTTCCCCACCCCACCCCCACCTGAGGAAGGAGGATTTAAAGTTTAAGGCTTGCCTGGGCTATAAAAGGGAGTTCAAGGGTAGCCTTGGCCATTTAAGGAGACCCTGTGTCCACTAGTAAGTAGAACAAGGGCTGGGGATACAGTTTAGGGGTGCAACACGTGTCTGGCACGCATAAAGCCTTAGGTTCAATTCCTAGTACTACAAAAAACAATTAAGGCGATGGTAATGGGGGTGAGGAAGGGGTGGGAAGTGTGGCTAGCTTCATGGTACAGCACTGCAAATAATCATCATCTGAAAAGGGAATAAGCGCTACATAATATGAGCTAACTGCAGTTTGCATTAAAATTAATTTCTGAATAACACTGAAGCTGCCAGTTTTCTACTTTTTGTAAAACCACAAAGGATTATTTAGGAAAGGAGTTACTGAGCCGTGCATCCGGTTGCATGATTTCACCTGCTCGTCCTGTGCAAGGACTCAAAGCTCCAGCCTAAGGGACCATTCCCCCGCCCTCGACTTCCAAGCCCGACCCGCCCACCCGCAGGCAGGAACCACTTGTCCAAGAGATTGGTCCAGCAGCTCAAAGTCCCTGACAGGATTCTGAGTGCAGCTTTCCGGGAAAGAGCGTGGCGGCCGTGGGAGACTGGTCATTGTGGTCCAGCCCACCGTACAGCTGTGGGCTTGACTCACCCACGCCGTCGCCTCAGCACTGCGGCGGGAGAATGCTGAACTCGGAAGGTGCCCCAGGGGAGCGGCCCTAAGGGCCGAGAAGGCCCCGCCTCGCCCCACTCGGCCTCCGATTGCTCACGTCTGGCCGCGAGCCGGCCGAGGGCCGAGCGCGTCGCTCCCGCGTCCCCACACCGAGCTCGCCTCGCGTTCGCTTCGCGGCTGTTGCCTCGGGTTTAGCGGTTCTCGTGTCCCTCCTGGCTCCGCGGCGGCCTGGCTCAATGGCGCCTCAGCGGAGGGGACCACCCAGAGTTCCGGAGGGAAGCTCTGCAGCCGAGCGCCGGCGCGCGAACAGGTAGCGAGAACCATAGGGACTAGGAGGCCGCGCGCAGAAGCGGGCGGGGCCTGACTGGTGCCTGTGGGCGTGGTCATTCCGGGGGCGGAGTCTGACCGCGGGTGGGGCGTGGTCGTGACAAGATGGGGTCTGACGGGACTTAAAGCTGTGACTGTGACCGGGTCGGCTCCTGTGTGGACCAGCCCTATTGCGATGCGATCGATCGGGCATGACTTAGAGAGAGGGCGTGGAGGTAATGTGGGCGTGGTGTGTCTGGGGGCGGGGCTTGGAGTATTCTGCTGCAAACTTCAGGTGAGATGTCCACTTGACTGCTCGCTCACCAAGGAGCTCTGCACGGAGGCCCTGCTCACAGGGAGCTTTTTTGGTTGGAGTCTGTCTATGTTCAATCACGTGAGCAGGTTTCTCTCACTAGGGGGGCATTTCTGGGCCTTTATGACTCCCTTCTGCTGTATATCCGTGTCCCACCTTTCCACAGCTCTCTCTGCTGTTTTCCTCATCCCAGCCTTTCATAACTCATCTATCAAAAACTGGCCTTGTGGGCCTCTGTCAAACCCACAGCTGAATCCAAAGAGTGGAGCCTTGGGGGTCAGCTAGCTCTTGACAATTCTGCGTGTGTTTCAAGATCTATGTCCTGTGAGCTTTCCTGGACAGCAGAACTCAGATACCTCATTTTATACACAGATATGTAGAGACACAGACACAACTTCGTCAAGACCACACAGAACTGGGTCATAGAGATATCCTAACTCATACATCATTTCTGATATGCTTCTGTGCTCTCTCTGGCCCCAGATTTATTCTTTGAGATAAGTGGGGGGGGGAGTTGTTTTTTTTTTTTTTTTTGTGTTTTTTGTTTTGTTTTAATTTGGTTTTGGTTTTTCAAGACAGGGTTTCTCTGTACCACTTTGGAGCCTGTCCTGGAACTAGCTCTATAGACCAGGCTGGCCTTGAACTCACAGAGATCCGCCTGCTTCTGCTCCCAAGTGCTGGGATCGAAGGTGTGCGCCACCAATACCCAGCAAGTTAAGTGTGTTTGATTTGTATAAGTTGATTCAAGTATGCATGGATCCTTGTAGAGACACATGCTTGGGGTGGAGCATTCAAATAGGGATTCATGAGTGTGGTTAGGGACTCACATTCTACAGTAATCCTCCAAATAGGAACTCTGTGGGCCAGACAGGAAGGGCCTATGGTCAGCCTATGTCTTTTGTCCATTGAAGCACATGTTCAGCCCAGTCTGATCAGAGACGACAAGGCCACACGCTGCCTGGGAAGCTCCTCTGAGGGGTGGGTTGTGGATGGAGGTACAAGCCCCTGTTTCCCACCATCTGCTTCATCGTCAGCCCATGAGGACCTGGAATACCTCAGGATTGAGGGGGTCCATCCACCTTGATAAGTGGTCAATGTAGGCACAGTCCAAGGCTGGTGGCATCCAGTGTGAACATCTTGTGGTTTTTATTGGCATGCTTAGTGTGATAGCTGCTGCATCCAGTGGTTATGTCTTCTTTTCTCAGCACCAAGAAGGACCGGCTACCTCAGGAGGCACAGAGAACATGGCTAAGGACTGTGGCCCTTGGAGTAGGCCTTTCTCTGATCACATTCCTGCTCTGGAGTAGTCTGAGGATCGATGACGATGTTGCTGAAGTCTTGGCCCGTCGTGGTGAGATCCTAGAAGGCAAGTTCATTGAGGTCCCCTGCTCTGAGGATTATGATGGTCACCGGAGATTTGAAGGTATGTGCCACAGGCTTCTCAATAAAGAGTGACTGGCGGGGGGGGGGGGGGATCCAAAATCCTCGGTGGTGGTACACACCTTTAATCCCAGCCCTTGAGAGGCCGAGGTAGGTGGATCTCTGTGAGTTCGAGGCCAGCCCGGTCTACAAAGAGAGTTCCAGGACAGCCCAGGGCTGTTACACAGAGACACCCTGTCTTGAACCTCCACCCAAAGAAAAGAGTGGATGATAGGGAGCTGGAAAGAGAGGCCGCTCACAGCTACCTGTAACTCCACCTTCAGGAGATCCAACCCCTCCCTTCTTCTTCCGCAGGCACCCGCAATCACATGCACATACCTACATACAGACACACACAAAATGACAGAAATGAAACTCAACATTGTTTTTTGCTACAGCTGGGATCAGTTGAAAATGGTATATTTGGTCAGAGACAAACTTTCCTTTCCCAGGCAGGGAAACAGAATGTGTCTGGGTGATACAGAATGTTCAGGAAAGCAGCAGCCCATGGAGGCCTGCCCCGTCCACCCACACAGGGTTGGAGAGTAAAGATGTTTCAGGGTCAGCCTCCAGTGCCACTCTGGTGTAGACAGCATCTTAGCAAGCCTCTGTGCCCAGAGGCTGCGTGCAGGGAAGTAACAGGATCAGGAAGGCGAGAAAGGGTCAACAAGATGCCTTCCTTGGCAGTGGAAAGTACAAAATACCAAGCCAGATAACCTGCGTTCAGTATCCTGAACCAACGTGTTAGAAGAACCAACTCTAGTCAGTAGTTGAGTAAGCAGAATCAACTCTGACCTCTACACACGTATCCTGTGTCCACGCACATAAAATAGTTCTAGAAAGATGAGGATGATGAGTGGGAGACGTCACGGTAAGGAGCGACCAGAAAATGTGAGAAGAATGTCATCCCAGGCCTCAGCTCTGCAGCTCCACCAGTGGCACTGGTTGCTGTGGGAAGGAGCAGCCAGCTGGTTACAGGCTGGAGCCACAGAGTCAGGGCCACAGGGCCAGGTGAGGACAGTCAGCACCCTGGAGAGCACACACCCCCTGGGCTGGGTGTTTGGGGTGGGGTGCAGGCCTCCTTGGGCTGCTGTTTTCGTGAACATTCTACGTAGCATTTGGGCCTCACAGGCAGACTTTTCTCCCACCCTCCAACCCCACCCCCACCAGTTCCCAAGGAGACTCAATATTAATTATAAATGCTCTATCGATAGCTTAGGCTTGTTACTAGCTAACTCTTACAAGTTAAATTAACCCATTTCTATTAATCTACGTATTGCCATGTGGCTCACGGCTTTACCTGTCCGCTGGCATGTCCTGCTCCCTCTGCATCTCCCAGTGACTCCTCTGACTATACCCTTCTTCTTCCCAGTGTCCTTAGTCTGGCTTTCCTGTTTAACCCTATCCTGTCCAGCTATTGGCCAGTTGGCGTCTTTAATTTACAGAGTATATGGAAGGATTATTCCACAGCAGGGCCTGGCTCTAAATAAACCACAAGGATGGTGTAGTTCTTGTTGTTTTCTCTTTGCTCTCTGGGGGGCCCGCCACCCGGCTTCCAAATAAATACATGGAGACTTACTCTTACTTATGAATGCCTGGCCTTAGTCTGGCTCATTTCTAGCCAGCGTTTCTTAAATGAATCCATTTCTCGTGTATGTTTTGCCTTTGGGCTTTTCCCTTTCTCTCTTCTATATACCTTGCTGTCCTTCCTACTCTGTGGCTGGCTGTGAGCTGGGTGACTGGCTTCCAGTGTCCTCCTCTCCTTTCCTCACTCTCGCTCATTTTCCCTTCTCCTCTCATTTATTCTCTCTGCCTGCCAGCTCCACCTGTTCCTCTCCTGCCTCCCTATTGGCCATTCAGCTTTCCATTAATCAATCAGGCATTTTAGCAGGCAAAGTAACACAGCTTTACAGAGTTAAACAAATGCAACACAAAAGAATGCAACA